TTCTAATGAATTGGGCTACTAATTTTTTAAGCTTCTAGATTTAACCAGCTCTTAAAAACGTAAAATCCTCAAAATCAAGTCCCCCACATTCTATAGACTGCATCAACCAAGATTATGTGACTGCGACTACATTCAGCCTAATCTAGTCTATCTGTAAACCTAGCTTTGATCACTTGTTGGGAAAGCTCTGTGCACTTGTACGACAGATCCGAAAACCATCGAAACCGCTTCGGCTTCACTTTCTGTATGAGCCTCACTACCCGAAACTTTGCATTCCCAAGGTCATTCTCTCAAGCATCGAACCTTGCTCCACAAGAGCAGGTGAACTGGTAGATGCACACAGAGGCAACCAGACGCAGGAGCTTATCTTTTATGGACACAGAAAATAAGTTCCTACTCGTGAAGGTTATTCGCAATTTAGCTGCATTAAATGTTCTTCTAATAGTTGCTGTTAGACGATTTTTGATTACGTCTGATGTTCGACCACCTTTAAATTCCAGACTTATATAAAGGTTTTTCTTCGTAACGGAACAACTAGGTTTCTTGTCACAACTAATTCTATTCATATTCTTTTCTATGAACCGTTCTGAGTAGCCATTTTCTATCACGGTTTTCTTGAGGAATTCGAGTTCTTCGTTAATGCATTCCTTACTGCATATCTGACGTATTCGATAACATAAAGAGTGGATGACGTTTCTCTTTCCACTTAACGGAACCCAGCTATAGAAGTTGGTTAGCTGTCCATTCGATTTTTGTTTTCTAAAGATGGATCTTTTTAAAGAACCACTACTCATTCTCATCAGACGTACATCGAGAAAAAGGATTGATTGGTCCTGTTCACATAAATTTTTGAATCGATCGAGCACGCATCATTACTTGTGTCTCAATCACATTTCCTTATACTCCCTTCATCAGCGTTCACGATTAAAATGGCTTCGAGCACCAAGCTGTTTGCGTCCCCACAGCATTGCTGACACCACCAAAGACACGTGCAGGATTATTGCACTAACGCCAGATACCTAGTAGATACAGGTGCCCAAGTTTTTGTCGTACCGATTCTTTAGAGTAAGTCTCAAGCTACAATGTTTCGAATACGCACTGCGAATGGCTTAGTTATTCCTATCTATGATACACGACAGCTTAAGGTCAACCTGAGCAGCCGACGACAGTATTTGTGGACGTTCATCATCGTCGATGTTCCCACAACCATACTTGGTATCGATTTTCTACAGCACTATGAATTGCTAGTCGATTCATGTAGGCTGCAGCTAATCGATATTTCGTCGAACGGAACATTCATGACAAACGGGTATCTAATCACAGGTGTATCTCAATCACGTGATGATATATTCCACGCTTTATTTGAGAAATTCCCCCAATTAACTAAACCTCTGGAGGGGATCCCATCGTGTAAAGCACCACATAGTCACCCGCGGCCCCCAGTAATGGCAAAACTTCGCCGACTAGCACCAGACAAATTAGCTTTCGTTAAACGCGAGTACGACAGCTTAATAGCAGCTGGTATTATTCGTCCTTCTCACAGTTCCTGAGCCTGATGCCCTGTCACGTATCCGAGTAAATGCAGTTACTTTACCGGTTCTTAATCTCCCTGCTAAGGCTGCCGCCCAAGCAAGCGATCCCTCCTGTACAGAAGCACAGCATTCTGCATCTATTCAGCACCGCGAAGTACCCCCTAACTACTAGCTCAGGCACTATATTATGTGATAGATACGGACACTCGTTGTTGCCTCTTCGTCATCTTTGTCTACTCTCCCACTCACTGCAGCTCAGATGATGTAAAAGATGAGTTTTACAAAAAGCTTTCCGACCTTCTCAGAAAAGCTAAGCGCTCTGATGTAGTAATAGTGGCCGGTGACTTTAATGCTCAAGTAGGTAAACTAAGCGAAAGACACCTGGGTGGATCTTATGCATAAGGAAAAACATCTTTTAACATGGCGACCCCCTAATTCGTCCCAACATTGGACCGAAATATATCATATCGGTATCAGCCGGCGTTGGAGGGGCTCGATAGAGGACTGTCGTTCGTTGTGGAGAACATGCTTAGATTCAGATCATGCTCTGTGCCAGCGCGTATTTGTCTGCGTCTTACTGGACGTAGGAAAGACTCTGCAAGGAAACTCCTTAGGGCCCTACTTAATGATAGTCAAGCTGAGAGTATATTTCAGGAACAACTAGAAAAACAGTTAGGCAGCCATGGGATGATATCCGAAAAGCTGTGGGAACGGCAGTGACATCTACTAGTACGGTAAACCACAAGGTTAGGGAGAAACAATGGATCTCAGCAGCATCTATCTCACTGATAAATGCTCAAAAACTCATTCCACCTGGCTCTGAACATAATAGAGAGCAGAGTCAGCTTAAGCACAAGCTAAAAAGAAGCATATGCAATGATCTCGAACAGTGGTGGGTAGCGAAAGCAAGAGAGATGGAAAAGGCAGCAGCAATAGGTAATATCAGACAATTGTTCAGACTCGTTAGGGAAAACGGTATTAGGAACCCGACTGTTAGCGAAACAATCTCAGAGAAAAATGGACATATTATACATTCTCAATCCAGGAGATTGGATCGATGGGAAGAACACTTTAGGGATCAGTTCAACTGGCCTTCAGCCACACTTCGGTTTCCCACGATCTCTAGTCAACCTGAATGGCAAGTTAATGTAGGCCCTCCGTCCCTTTACGAAGTTGAAAAAGCCGTAGGAAATCTGAAACGAGGAAGAGCAGCAGGCCCTGACAGGTTTACTCCTGAGATTTTTAAGGATGGTGGTCCAGTATTAGCAATGAGATTAACCGAGGTCTTAGGTAACCAAAGCTCGTGAAGAACAGACTAGAGAAAATCAGGCTGGTTTTCCACCTGGACGTGGTTGTATAGATCAGATATTCACACTACGTCAGGTCCTAGAACACAGACACACATTCAGACGCCCCACAATGATAGTATTTCTCGACCTTAAGGCGGCATTCGACTCTGTTGATCGTGAGGTTCTATGATAGTGTTTGTCACTGAAAGGAGTACCAAACAAGTACATTAACCTTGTAAAGGCTCTCTACTCGAACACAACTGGTAGAGTGAGAGCTTATGGCGAACTGTCTTCAGAATTGATTACCTCAAGTGGTGTTCGTCAGGGTTGCCCACTCTCCCCATTCTTGTTCAACTTTGTGGTCGACGTACTTTTAGAGATAACACTTTCCTCGTATAAATTTCCAGGGGTTGAACTTCTACCGGGAGGTTCACTTGTTGACTTAGAATATGCTGATGACGTAGTTTTATTTGGCGAAGACGCTGACAAAATGCAGAGTCTTTTGACCACTCTAAGCAACAATGCAAGCATGTTCGGGATGCGATTCTCCCCCTCGAAATGCAAAATGTTGCTTCAGGATTGGGTTACATCCACACCCGAACTAGTGATAAGGAGTGAAGTAGTTGAGTGTGTCGACCGCTTCACTTATCTTGGAAGTCTCATCAGCCCTTGTGGTTTAGTGTGTGACGAAATCTCAGCACGGATACAGAAGGCTCGACTAGCTTTTACCAACTTGCGTCGTTTATGGCGTAGGCGAGATATCCGTCTATCAACCAAAGGACGTGTCTACTGCGCAGCAGTTCGTTCCGTCCTACTTTATGGCAGTGAAACATGGCCGGTAAGAGTAGGGGATATCCGTAGGCTACTAGTATTTGATCATATGTGTCTTCGAAACATTGCTCGTATATCCTGGGACCATCGAGTAAGTAACACAGTTGTTAGGAAACGGGTACTAGGTAAGGATGGCAAATCCATTGATGAAGTAGAGAAACTTCATGAGTTGAGATAGCTGGGACATGTGTTATGCATTCCAAACCACCGACTGCCTTGACGCGCGATGTTTTATGGTGTGAGTAGGTTGAAAGAAAGCTAAGGGAGAACAGATCAAAACATGGCACAAATCCATGAAGTCACTACTGACAAGTGAACTGAGTCATGTTGGTAGGTGTAGACTACCTGGTTGGGATCTGCGAGACGATAACAACCGATGGTTAGAGACCTTGAATGACATGACTCAAAATCGTTTGAAATGATGTGAGCAGGTTCATCCACTCTTTGTGTTCTTCAAAATTATAATCTTCTGAATTCTTCATGTCCCTTTCCTTTTTTTTCTTTCTAAATATATTTCACTGGATTATACTATTTGCATAACATCTTCAAACCCTAATCTTTCCGATTGCTGTTTATACTTTTACTACCTCTACCACTACGGGATTTGAATCGCAAACTGCATCTCTGTGGTAATGTAGTGTGGCAACTCGAACTAATATACATACATACGAATTTGTACGGTGTTACTGAGCGACTGATATTTGTAGTGTCAGTTATTATGCTAAGCCCATATACCTTATTCTAGTTTCCGGACATCCCATTCTATTCATTGTACTTGAACCATACTTTGACCTTGTTATTTATTGGCTTATCAATCTGGACTGTTTTTATATGAGCATATATGTGTGTGCCCTTCTTATCCCATTAATCATATGTCTGTAGATTTATTTTGTCTGACTATCAATATTGAGTAATGCTTGACTAAAGGCGAGTTGGCTTACCAACCATCTCCACTGTGTATCGATTTTACTTGGCTTCACTGTGTGCTTGCTTGCTGTACACTTGCGGATTTTTATTAATCATTAACAATAAATTATCTCTACCACTGGTGTTCAGGCTTCTCAATAATCTCGAGTAAATTCGTAATTCAACTAGGAGACTAAGCCTACGTTAAATACTCAATTGACGGGGTATTATTTATTGAAGCCTTCAACACATTGGTGAACCGCCGTTTCAATATATTATTGTGACATGAACACAAAATGCCCTTGTATGATCTTGAATAGTTTGTTTCTTATGGAAATATTCATGTAATCCTAATTCTAGTATCTATGATATGATGGTGAATTCAATATTATTTTATAAAGAAAAGTAAACAATAAAACAAAAACAAAAACCATAAAAAGAATAACGATGTGAAACAGATTTTATTTATTTTTATTATTTTGAAAAGTTTTTCAATATTCTGTTAATAGTAAAATGATGAATAAAGGGGGCTTGGGTGGGGTGGGGCAGAAGAGGAGAACGTAGCGTATTAGCAACAACATTGTTTGAAAAAATACATATATATATATATATATATATCATAACTAATATTGTTTTACAAAGAAAAGTAATTCGAATAAGAACAAAACGATGATCGGATCTACAACACACACACACACATACACACACACAAAAGCGACTCACAATATAAAACACAGCAAAAATAAATAATGTAACAATTGAATTAGCATAGATTTACCTACATACAATATGAAAAAGGTTACCTTTGCATGATCATGAATAAATGACTACAGAATGTCACACATACATATACATGTTACATAATATATATATAAATATAAATAGAGATAGATACATACAAAGGAGTCTAGTCAAGAGACATTAAACATAATTCCCCTATAGAATGTTATTATTTTTAAAAAAAAGATAGGAATTGAAAGAATCATTCTAAACACACAATAGGAGAATTGAATAAATTCAATAATTATCCATAGCATAGAAAGCAAATCTACTATATGACATGATAAAACTTAACAGAAATCCTTACAAATTCTTATCCTACTAGTACTACTACTACTACTCATTCATGTTTATTCAACTGATCCATATAGTTGATAAGGCGGGAAAACAATACACAGATGGATAGCTTTAGCTCACATTTCTATGTGTATATTGTGAACTCTTCAATGGGAATAAGTTTACATAGATAAACAACTATAGTTGCACACATTCACACACACACACACAAAGAAACAAACAAACACAGAAGTCAAGAGTTCTGTTCTTTGTTTTAGAAAGGAAATATGTGATTGTAACGGTCAAATGATTAAAAACCAAATCAACTAATAAAGACCGGGGTCAATGAAAAGAAAAACAAATAATAATAAGAAACCTGACATATAATGAGATCATGTTCTGAATGAATCTATGATTACATTCTCATAATTACAAATTATATTATGAATAATAAATAAATAATCAGTTGTTAGATGAGCAAACTGATAAGAACAAAACAAAAAAAGGGGGGAGGAGGAAGTGGAAACCAAACTTATGGAAGAACAATGATATAGTGGAAAATCAATTGTAACTAAGATATCACACTCACACACACACACACATCCATATACATGACAATAAGATAGTTACCGAAAAATGAATCATTAAAAGAGAAAAAAAGAAAGAAAAGAAAACAATATACATAAATACACATATATGATGATAATATTATACAGAAAACAACAACAACGACAACAACAACAAAAAAGAAAAGAAAAAAGAGAGAAAGAAAAATAAACAAATAAAATATCATTGATCGATGTTTATTTGTTTAAAATAAAAATAATAAAAAAAAACTCTATTTGAAAGAAAGAACAAGGTAAAACAAACAAGCAAGCAAACACAAAATGAATATGGTTTTCTTTTGAATAACCTACAACACACATTGATAATATTGGTCTTTTTTTCTATCTTTTTGTTTTTATTTCGATTAAAAGTATGAATGAATTATTCAATAGTTAATTTTTTTTTTAAAAGATAGAAATTATATTATTTATGTAAAATAAATAATCATTTACTTAGTTACAATAATAAACATGAGATCAATAGTATCAGAAGAAGAAGAAGAAGCTTAAATGTAATGATGATATTGACAATAACAGCCATAGCAACAACAACAATAAGAAGAAGAAGGACAACGAAGTGGTAAATGTTGACATGGTTACATGAACTAAAACATTCATATAATCAATTAGAATATGTCAAGGGATAGAGGTAGGAAAGAGAGAGAGAGAGACAGGGGGGAGAACAATCAACACAACTACATACATATACATAGTGTTATACACATGAATAGATTCAGTAAATATGAATTTAAGTTATATTAGTAGTATGTAAAATAAAATATTTCATAATAATATTGAATGCATTACGATTGCCTGAAATGCGTTTAAATCTTACACCATAATTAATTGGTTTAGCTAATTGAAATATTTCCATATCCCATATGATTAAATTAGTTTTATGTTTTAAATGAATGAGATAAGACAATTGAGGCTGTTGTTGTTGTTGTTGTTGTTGCTGGGGATGGTGTTGTTGAGGTGATGTTGTTAGTGTACAGTGTTCTAGTTGTTGGTCAACATCAACATCATCAATAGTGTTATTATTATTATTTGAAGAAGGAGAGGATTGATGAGAAGAAGAAGAAGAAGGATTCATTAATTTTGTACAACGTATACGATATGAACTAAGAAATTCATAAGAACATTGATAACGTTTTATTAATTCAATGATTTGTATTAATAAAACATGTGGATCAGTTCCAATAATAGGGAGACGTAATACAAAATGTAAACGACGTGGTTTCCATAATTTTTGATTTTCATTCTTTCCATAATAAAAAGTATGATGATCATGTTGACGTTCATCAGATGATTTAAATTGTGATGATGAGGTAGTTGTTTTCCAATTTATTATTCTCGTTGTAACTGTCAGTGGAGATGAGGTTGTTGTTGCTGTTATTGATGAGGATGATGGTGATAATGATACTGTACATGATGGAGTTGTGATAGTTGAAGCTTTCAATTTATGCATGTCGGAAGTTATGACCACAGTTTTCGACGTTGGAGGGTCGAGGCAACACGGTTCGACTCCGGTCTTTTCTATAAAACAAACAATAAACAATTAATAAGACGAATGAAATGTAACTAAAACTGAAGATGGTAAGTTAGTAAATATATATATATATATATACACGCATTTAATTCGTTTATCTTTATCAAAATATTACTGAAATAATTACGGTAAGTGCGCAAAGTAGGTGAGGGGGCGGGGATGCGTGGAGTACAAAAAGCACTAAAAATAGATAACATGTAGTGAATGCAAAACAAAACAAAAAAATTGTGCAGTAAATTTCCAATTAAAAATGACATCACTAACACGTTGTTACAAGACACAAACAAACAAACAAGCAAATATAAATTAGATACATAACAAAACAAAGAACAACACAGTTGAAATGTAGTTAATTCTTAGTCAAATTATAAAGATTAAAGAAAAAGAAACAACAACGAGTGAATTCATTGAAAATTTTACTTGGTTCAATCTATGATAACTTACGAATAGAATCTATCATGAACTCAATAAGGCAGCACACACACACACACAATGCCCCCCCCCCAATAGTAAACCCTCAACGATAGAACCCAAAAAGAAGTACAGCAGTATAGAAAATTTCATATTTCACATAGAACAATTGAAATTAAACAACTCTGTATATATATATATATATATATATATATATATATATATATATATATATCAATAAAAACATGACCTTAGGAAAGAAAATCAGTGATAGTTACCAAGACAGAAAACAGCATGGTCATGTGAAAATGTGAATGGGAAAAAATATGCTTCAGTTGTCTTATTACAGAGGAAAAATTAACATTTAATGATAGGAAACAAATAACCTATCTTCTATTTTAAAAAAAACCCCAGGTCGATGATATGGAAACTGTTCCAGGAATGCTTCATCTCAAAAACTATAAGCCCAATTAAAAACTGGGGATATTGAATTTGAACGATGAGTATATTAAATGCACCACTACTGAAAGTGTCGGAAGAGAATAACGAAACTTTTTTTTAGATTATGTTATAACGGTCGGTTTTTCTTCAACCACACGTATGGGACGTTAATTTACCTTATATGAATATTTACACTAGATTCCCTCTCAGTGTGCCCCCAAATACCCTGGTATGACCGAGAGTGGGGAGTTTGCTCTACCTCTCGAAATGCTCTCACATAGCCACAAGTATATAGCCTCTGCCACGAAAGTCCTATTCACTAAATTCTCATGGCGGGGGTATTGTTTATGGAATTGAGAGGATGAAAAGCGAATGTTCGGCACTCCAACCGGGTTTTTGGACACGGAGAGTCTACCTAGGGGAGTTGGAAAACCCTGATTTAAAACAAATTTTGCACATGGGCTAGCTTCAAGATCCTAAGGGAATAAATGGCTTATGAAACAATAGTTGGTCACCGGCTACCATGGGACTGCATCTCCTTACGATGCTCCACTGCATTGGGGATCAGACCCTTAGGTCGAAGGCTCCAGATGTAGCCTTCTAAGAAAACCACTTGCTTCGGTCTGTGCACCCGAGCAGTATTACAGCCCCCCCACACACACACAAATATGTTGTGGCGCATATATATTTGGTGCCCTCTTGTACCAATATTTATGTGTTGAAATAAATAATAAATAAAGATAAATCTATTGACAAGTTTTAGATAACAGCAGCATTTGAGACATTATAGCCAGTATATTACTATTTGAATAAATGAGTGAACATATTTGATTTGATTTATTTACTCGTTGCGTTAACTGCTGACTCAGATTGATGAACATATCAAAGTGATATATATATTCAATAGAGCTGTTGAACATTTCAATTATGAAACCTTTAATAAGGCGGTCATAAATCTCTAATATGAAAGAACTCCATACTAGAAAAATATTTGTCTAGTAATCGTAATTATTTAACATTGAACCAAAGATAAAGTCAATCGATCATATGGACTATAAATCAGATCATTCCGATCAAGAATATTAGATAGATTTGAGATTAGGAAAAAAAAATGTAGTAATCATCTCAAGTGATATAATGATTAACATAGAGAATGCATAAATGTATAAATGATTATTCTCTATTCATACAAGATCTACTCGTTATTACGAATTAGAAATGTTGATAGCTGTAAGACAATAGTCAGTCCGTCAGTCAGTCAGTAACAACGTAGAACTTCGTACGTACGTACATCAGTTCGAGTTGCCACATCAATAGACAAGTGGGTAGGGTTAGGTCAATGGATATGGAGAGTATCAAAAAAACAAGAGCATTACTGTAACAATTAAAATTTATTATTCTTCAATAGAATAAATTATAAAACAGAAGATGAAAGGAAAGAAAAATATAATAATAAACATATTTATTATAATTTTCAGTAAGTCAGTCAACTACAACGTAAGACCAGGCATATATATGCATCGATCCAAGTTGTCATACTGCATTAGCTCAACAAGATGAACACCAAATTCATAGAAGTAGTCACTTCAATGGTGGTAATGTATAAAAGAAAGATTGCATATAAGGATATAGTACAGGAAGAAAGAGTTAGTTCATAGAAACAAAAATATGAAGCAATTTTAATCTCATAGTTCAAGGGAAGACAGAGGGTGTATACACATTTTACACAGTCTACAACCATTGGTTATGATAGTCGCATGGACCCCAACCAAGAAGTCTGCATCTACCAACATGGCTCAGACTGGACGTTAGTGACTTGAAGCACTAGTGCCACGTTTTGGTTTGGCCGCCCCTGACTTTCTTCCAACCATCCCCAACACTAGTCAGCATTGAGCGTCATGGCAATCGGTGTTCAGGCATACGCAACACGTGATAAAGATTGACAACCTCATCAACTCATTTATCATCATTCCCTTTTACTCTTCGTCTAACCTCACTATTACTTACCCAGTGATCCCGGTAGATGTAAGCAATATTTCTAAGACATATGTGATCAAATACTAGTAGCTTACGAGTATCTACGCCTAATGGCCATGTTTCGCTGCCGTAAATTAAAACAGAACGAACTGACGCGCAGTATACTCATCCCTTAATTGATAGACGGATATCTCGCTTTCGTCATAGGTAATTTTGATGAAAATTGGAAAGTGGTAAAATGAGTTATAAGTTCGAAACACCCTAACTAACTCTATAAGGATTATTTTTATTTATTTTAACACATAGATATTGGTACAAGGAGGCACCAAATACATATGCGCCACACAACAACATCCTTAGTGAGTGTTAAACATTAAGAATCTACACAGCAAAACTATTGCATGCCAGAAATTGAGAATATGTTCAAGTTGAACATTATGTGTTTAGACAACATCAACAACCAAAAAACAACACACACAGATAAACACTAACAATAACTGTAGAATGTGTAAAGATGTTTGGAAGAGTAAGGAAAACAAATGAAAACATGTACGAATTACATATAAAAAGATAAACTATCACTATAATTACAACAAGAAACATACAAATGTATTCAGTCCTATGGATATATTATGAAATCTACATCAGATTTATGAATAAAACCAGTTTGCAATTAACAGTCTGCACTCATTGTACCTGATTATTGACATTATAATAGGTTCTGTGAATACTATAGTAATTTTAGTAGTTGAGATCATGAGTCAATTGAAGCTAGACTATCATGGAAGACCTTGAAGCACTGGATGGCCGTTTCCTTCTAGTATAGAACTCTTCAGCATCCATGATCATACCTCGCGTGATTCGAACCCAGGACCTATCGGTTTCGTGCACGAACACTTAACCACTAGACCAGTGAGCAAGCATCCAACGATATTATTGGCAGTTAGTGAGAGGAAAAGTTTTAAACATCTTTACAACTAGGATTAAAAATAACCTATATTGATCATATGATTACTGCGGGAAATATTTTTATTACATATTCTAAACAGTTTTTATATTGTTGAAATACGATCCAGTCAGCCAGTCAGTCGCTAAACAAATATATCATATACAAAATTGTACAATCTTTGAAATCTCGTCTAAATAGTTATGATAAAGAAGCAAAAACTAATCAAGTATAATCTAACATTAAGTTTCAGTGGTATTAAGTGAAATTAGATAAGGAGTGTTGTTTAACGTACCATATATCTAAGTTAATTAAGTTGATGCTTCAAAATCAATTTAATGATAGCCTCAACAATGCTAGAACATGACTAACTGAACCTCACTATTAGTTATACGTAGTTATTGTCGAAGATGACTGTTTCCACAATGGAAAAGATGATCGAACCGAGAACGCTATTGAACGTTCTGAGTTTAAAAACAAGGTTTTCTAATTACATAGAAGTAATGCTAACATTTCCCGACTATCCTAACACGTATATAACGCATCTTTTTTACAGACAGCGTGATGCTACATTGCAATAGTCAGAAGTGAATCCTAGTACTAAGTTTCGTGGTAGATGGTAGTCGTTAGTAAGTCCTATCTGAAATCTTGAGAGAACTGGTACTTTTCACAGGATTTGAACTCTCATTGGCAAGCTTCAGTTCCTTCAACATTGTACATACATTTTGCTGGAAATTTGCAACTACCAAGAAAAATGAGTCTAAGGATTTTCCTGCTGATTGCTTTCAACTATCTAACAATGAAACTATTTATTTGGTAGTAGACCAGTATAACAAAATAGAAGACCGATCAATCGAAATAAGAACACTTAGTATGTAAAAATTAAGAAAAGGGAATAGAGAAAAGAAGTAAAGTAAAACTTACTTTGATAACCACCACCACTGCCACAACCAGCGGCGGTAGACTGATTATTAGTCGATGTGTTATTATTGGTAGGAAACTCAATTCCATGATGATACGGATAATAATGAAGAGGATTAGGGTGTTGTTTTAATTTATTAGTATCTAATTCACTGGATAATGATCGTTTGCATTTTGATATCAAATCCTTACGTTGTTGTTTTCCAGGTTCCATAGTTATCCATGGATCTGGATTAATTGACACAAGACATTTCATCGTATCGTCATCATCATCATCACAATTCACTTCATCATTATCATGATGATGATGTTGTTGTTGTTGTGTTGTAGATGGATGACTAGATGTTTTTGTTGTTGGTGATGATGATGTAGAATGGGTTAATGAAGAACAATGTAATCGATTAGATGAATTAAATTCTTCAGTTAATTCAGCTTCATTATTATTTGGTTTCAATAAACTCATTCTATGTGGTTTAAAGTTAGTGTTATTAGTATATTTATGATTGGATTTTTGTATACTAGAAATAATTCGATTATTATGATGATTTGTATGACTATGGTTACAAAAAGGTGAAAAAGAGGATACATGAATAAAACAAATAGAATATTGAATATTATAGAAGTCAGTGGAAAAAAAAACAAGCAACAGCCACCCACCCCCTTAACAAACTTTAATAAATGAAGTAGTTTAATGGAAATGTTTCTATTTCTAGGGATACATATTACAAAAGTCAACTAATGTGAATAGAAAAAGTAGTTAGGAACTGAGAACTAAACAAAACAACCGTTGTTTCATGTTAGTAACATTAAGAAGTATCGTGCACACTTCAAAACCTGATCATACTAAGTTCGATCACAAAATGAAATCTTCAATGTACACTACTGACTGAAGAGCAATGAACTAGGATGAAGTGATAGTCTATTAATATTCAGTTCCATAATAAATTGGTGATCTCTCAAGGGATATATCATAAACGATTAATCATAAGATGATTCGACAAAGTTTAGATACACTTATGAAGTTGACTAAATGTTTCAGTATTAAAAATACTCATCATTGTGTTATTGTAAGCTAACGAACACAATATCCTATTTTGGCTACATAAGTTAATCGCATTACAATGAGATGACAGTGGTATGGATGTGACATTTTAAAGTGTAGCAAGGATATATTAAAATTAAATTCATATCCTTCAAGGTATAAAATGAGTAAAGTAAAAGTATTTACTCACATGAATAGACAACTAAATTTGAGAAGTATGCATAAGTTCAATACAAATAAACTTAATCAATCCTAATAGTTAAGCATAGATTGAATACATTTGGTTAATATTTCCATTCAACAAAATATCAATTAATCAGATTGAGATTATGTTTATTCTCTCAAATATACCAACCAATTCGATGTATAATTAACTTCCTAATATATCCAAACAAAGTTAACTAAACAACATATTTATGCAACAGATAGATTCTCATGCCTCTCAAATCTCCTGGTACGACCTAGGGTAGGGAGAGTCACTTCTTCCTCTACAAATGCTCTCACATGGCCACGTGTATACAATCACTGTCAAAGAAGTCCTAATCATTATCCTGTTGTTTACGAAATTGACAACACGAAAAGAGAATGTCAGACAATTTAACCGGGTTGATGAACACAGGGAGTCTATCCAATGGAAGTTAGAAAACCTTGATTCCAAACTAAAGGTCTACATGTGTTCCAGTATCCTGACGGAACAAATGGCGTATAAATCCATTGTTGATCACTGGCTGCCATGGGACTGCATCTCCTAAAGTTACTCCACTGTCTCATGGATTAGACCTTTAGGTTGAAGGCTTAAGGTGTGACCCTCCACCAAGAAAACCACCTGCTTCATTTTGGGCACTCTAGCAGTACAACAATCCTGAGACAATCCAAGTGACTTGTGTGGCATATATATATACATTCGGTGCCCCATTTTACCAGTATTTATGTGTTCAAAAAATAAATACATAAAAACTAACGCTAGTCATCCATAGGAGATGAATTAAGAAGAATGAGAACAGTATCCTAAACATTTTAGATGTGAACAGCAGAATTATACTAATATATATATATATACAAGCAATTAGTAAACCAACATTTGAACTAGTCGAAAAAAGTATAAACAGTTTGAAAGCAATGTCAAATTAGAATGAAAAAAAAACTCATTGAAACTTGAATACATGAATAGATACTTCTAATAGATTTCAAACTACTTTAAATAAATAGTAGTACTTGTCACTAAATAAAATTTTTTTTATTGTTTACAACATGAATATAAAAGAACAACTAAAGTTAAGTGCTTAATTAGTTTATAGATTAATTCAAAACACAATGTGGCAAGACTATAATTTATAAATGAATCAAACAGAGTTACAAGAATAAGTCTTTGATTTACGATGCGAAATTCATTCATTCATTTGAGCAAATAGCGTCTTCGCATTTTAACTGATATCAGTTCGTGATGAGAACTTTAAATCTAATTCTTAACTCTAACTATCAACTGTCAATCATAATCTTTACTCTTCAAACTGTTTTATAATCCTTATTCAGGCCTAGTAAGTATGTGGACACTCTCAAGGTCACTTTGGCGTCGTACAAAGGTCATCCATAAATTATAGTCTCACCCATGCATATGAATGCGTAATAATCAAGTATAGAAATTTCAATAGTTGAAATCATGAGTCAATTGAAGCTAGACCACCATGGAAAACCTAAGAGCACTAGACGGCCGTTTCGCCCCATTGTGGGATTCCTCAGCGGTGCGCAACCACGATCCCGCTCCCCGGGAGATTCGAGCCCAGAACCTATTGGTCTCACGCGCGAGCACTTAACCACTAAGCTGGCATCCAACAGTGGATGGGCACTGCTGAGAAGCCCCACAATAGGACGAAACGGCCGTCTTGTGATTCAAGGTTTTCCATGGCGGTCTAGTTTCAATTGACTCATGTTCTGAGCCATTGAAATCAATAATCTATTGTATAACGACTCAATATGATCAGAATAAAAATCAATTAAATAAATGGAGGTCAATAAGATTATTTAAGAAGTATAAAAAGACGAGAAAAGAGGGGATTGAAAATTATAGAAGAGGTTATTTGATAAAAAAAAAATTTGATAGCAGGTCTTCTTCCAATGTCTAATCCATGTTGAGAGATGTAGACTAATCGGATGAGGAATGTACGATTATCGTAGCCAAATGGTTGAAAACGTTCGCTAACATGATTCAGAATAAGTTGCACTGCAATACATATGAATTCACTACTCACTTTCCACCTGATCATCAGTCTCGTACTTATTTCACATCTTTTATCCTTTGGTTTCATGATTTTTCATTGTCAGTGATATTACTCATTTGATATTCACCTGTGCTCAATGTGATGGGTCAATTTAGAACAATGAACATTTGACAATGGAATTCATCGATAGTAACAGTATATCTATAAATTAAGATTAACTGAGTTTAAACAAGTGTATTTGATATGTGACAAGTTTAAGTCGATTTTGTGCTAGTTAGCCGAATGTATGTTGATGTTCACATTAGTTGAAAATTTTAGTGGTTCACTGAACTTAGTAAGTCAGTGAGTGACAAATAGGACAATTAAGCAAAACCGATTCGAATCTCTGCATGAACAACAACACTTCGATGTAAGTAATGTTTAGCTGAAGAGTCCTGAATAGGATAAAAAAAATTACATCCTAAATTCAATTATAATCTACAGATCAAATATAACAAAATTTGTGACTATAAACTAGATAAAGATAATCTGCGCTCAATGTATAACATACAACAATGGAAGCTTAAAGTGGTGAAGATCAACAATAAGAAATCATGAAACCACATTCATTCAATATTTCTAGTATTCAGTAGAAATATTGAGTTTAGAAAAAAGCACAAAAGAGAATCAAGGGTAATACAATAATCCTGTGATAATAATCAATCAATCAATCAATTCATTCATTCATTTGTATCTTTAATAAATATACAAGTAAAAACAATGATCATGTTACTTTGCTCATTTCAATGTCAACACATTAATGAAACAATATTGAATGTTGATTTTACCAATAAAAATATACATTAAACTTATTAAAATGATAGTAGATATTTAGTTTTTTATTACATGAATAATGTTTAGTAGGGTTTAGACGTTCTACTGTTAATTCGTAGATTGTAGGTGTTAGGACTCGAGAAACATAATCAATGATAACTTTAGGGATCTATTGATGGATCAATACTAAACGTATATTTCTATTGCATAATTATTAAGTAACTAAACTATGCATATTCATATTCTTCTTATTGTAAGCTTTATTTTGACCCTTAAACTATTATTACACGTTTGACCATCCTTGAATTAGGCCATGTCTATAAATCACTACCTAACACATTCACAACCACATCTAACTAATTCTTGTACAAATGTTGTTTCATATTTTATTGGTTCGTTGTGGTCTGTTTGATTGGTATACAAACTCAGTATGTTTGAAATATAATGATTCATATCGCAGAGGCTGAGACTTATGTTCTGAACTTAACTGGCTGGGCTAGACAGGAAGCAGGATCAATCGGGACTCTAGGCTGCTCGCACGTGTTTTACGCGTCATTGATCCGATTGATAAGTCACTGCTCTCTAATAGGTGGTCACAAGTTATAACACTAGGTTCATGAGTTGGGTTCAAGTTCGGTAGAGTAAACCTCAAACAATCAACTACACAAATTTCTCTATTCAGTAAATGAGTTACTTTTAAAGAAACAATAGATAGTACTTATAGAAAATAAAACAGTAGTAAATTGAAGAAAATATAGTTTTATTTCTTAATAATTTCTTCGCTTTTCGCAAAAAACCATTTATAGCCTTGCATTATATCACTAAAAACATTTAAAATTATTATTAGAAGGGGTTATTTGCTGATGTTTCTACAGTAATTTTTAACAAGTGAGATCATAAGTCCATTGAAGCGAGATCATCACAAAAAAACTGGAAACACTTGAACGGTTGTTTTGTCCTATTGTGAGACTACTGAAGAGTCCTCATTAAATTTCTACTAGCTTGATTACTTTTTCAATCCTTAGTCATAGATTATGCTTGTTAAAATGAATCAAATAAACAATCATAGAAATGAATAGAAATAAAGTGCCGACTTCGAATACAAAACCAAACTAAATTATGTTGTTTAACAGAATGAAAAGCCAACAACAAAACAAATTTAATCATTCCATGATTTAGCACGATTTGATGATAGGCAATTTACTGACTAGACATAAATTGATCATTATGTAAACGAAATAAATGATACGTGTCTAACTAGACAGTAAATATATATTAATGTCAGAAGGGGTTTTGTGGAGATCTTAGTAATTTCAATACTTTAAGTCATGAGTCAATTAGACCTAGACCACCAAGGGAAACCTGGGAGAGGATGGATCGTAGGTGCGCATTACCACTCAGGAGTCCCATACGAAGACGAAACGGCCGTCTAGTGCTTCCAGGTTTTCCATAGTGGTCTAGCTTCGATTGACTCACGATTTCAACTATTGATTAGCAGTGGAATCTAGAATGAGCGTTTCATCCTATTTAGGATTGGTTCAGTTCGATGTACCTGCATCCTAATGTTGATATTCGCGCTTTCTGGATTCCACTGCTAGCCACTACTCATCTTTGCTTAGAATGCTTATGAATTAAGGCAATACGCACACAATGCACAAATGCCAATAATAGACCAATCAATTGTTGCCCTAAGTAACAACGAGAAAATTCAAATAAACAATAAATAATGTTTGTACAAGTTTTCTGAAACACTCGATCTACAATAATTTTTCATTGTGATTCAAAAACTACACGTTAGCACATCGAGAGTACATAAGAACTCTCTAATCTTTAAAGTTCTTTCTCCAAATATTGACTAGTATCTAACTATCTATTTATTGATCTCTATGCATCAGTGGTTTTTTTTCTTAAATGAATGGAGTTGACTCGCATGTCTTTCTGTATACCTATTTATCGATCAATTCATGAATCAGTTGTGAGTAGCAAAAACAAAAGTTGTAGCAGTGACAGAGTGGAAAATTTAGTTCTTCTTACAACAACAAAAAAAAAAAAACATATATGCCCACAAACAAAACGCATAACCTGTAAATGAAACAGGATTACTGCATAGAGCTTATATGAATTTATTTTAAAAAAAGTTAGCTGTTAAGCGAAAGAACAAGATTTTGTGCGTTATTATTATTGTTACTGTTAGAATGAGGCATAAAAGTGATTAAACGAAGATTAACAAACATGATATTCTTTTTTTTAGAAAAAATATCCAACATCAACACCAAGGAGCTAGAGTGAATAATACGGTCTTTGGAATAAGTATTATTCAAGCATATCATTCAACCAACAAGACTATAAACCTTGTTTCATATCACCAATGGAATCATATTACTGCATATCAACTTTAGATTATCATAAACAGATACACTCAAACACACCCGACTGTTGTTGCTACTTTGACGTGGTGGTCAGTCTCACGCATCGTCATGAACCAACCGAGCTATACTGGCTGGAACAACCGTTTCTCAAGGTCCTAACATGTCAGTTGAAGAACGGTAAGACTAAAAGCAGCAAACCTAAAGTCCGAGGGCGAAGTCGTACTGCTGACTGTACAGAGGTGTGACGGCAGCAAGGTGTTTCCTTCAGACAACCAGCATAACAGCGATGGTACCTTCCCACGAGGAAGGGTGGGGTTAGAAAAGGTGGACCCAAAAATGCACACCTCGCCTTATCCGACGGATATCCGTCTCCGGTGGTAAAGTTCCGACAAGTACGAAGGTGACACAAAAATTACCCTTAAAAAGGTCGTATGTGATCGACCTCAATCAGTTATACCTCGGTTACTGCGGTCACACTCTCAAATCCCTATGACCACCTTTAATCCAATTTCCTTTTCAGGTACCTCCAGAAGAACCCTTCCGCGGTGTGGGCAACCGGGAAGTGATAACCGCCCTCATACCTCTAACAGCACTCAAGACCACTGTTTTCATAACCAACCTCCCTCTTCACTGATGATCAAAGTACATAATTAAATGCATAACTTCCACATAGGATGACTATAATCATTTTTTTCAAATCAATGAGTTGCTACATACTATGGAACTATCAGATTCGATGCATTCGATACATTCTTAAACTGTGTTTTACCAATTACACCCCACAACAATCAATACACATCCCAGAACACATCCAAACACATAATCTCAATTGAACTATTAACCATTTAAAATAAGAAAAATAGGAATTCATCCTGAAGGAATGAAAGGAATAATGTTAGCGTAGCATAAATAAACTAGTAGAATATACAAATCAATGTTTTGAGTTAATTGTTATGCTTAATTAACACACATTAAACAATATTACTAACATGTAGTAGTAGTAGTAGTAATGGTATTCATATTACTATGTAAAAAAATCTTTATTCACAAATGATGATGAATTTATTTACAAATTATAAACAAGTACAATTCTTCTTGTCCTTCCTGTGAAAACAGAAAAAAAAATCCATAAGAAAATAAGGTAGTGAAATCAGAATCGAATCACAAAGACAGATAGATAGAGAAAGATAGAGAGAGCGAGTGAGTGAGTGAGTAAGAAAGAAAGAGAAGAAAACCACTGAGAGAATAGTGAACAAGCATATATGTTAAGAAAATGAAACGAAATCACAGCAAACAAAAGCAGCATTGTAAAGTAACAAATACAAGTGTAGCTAGCTAGCTATATTAAGTGTGTAACAAGTAGTAGAAAAAAAAAGTAGCCAGAAATTTGAGTTAAGCATAGTTACAATAGTTACTTAGAGCTCAAATAATTAGCGCATAAGTATGCACGAAAACACACACACACATACACATACATTTCTGCTTGCTTATATCAAACATAGCTATCGCATATAAGTGCATTTTGTAAAGGTGTAATATGAGAGATATATATACATTGACATATACATACATACACACACATATAATTTCACTCCAACTCACCCTGACTTAAAACGACCACATCGAAAACTTGATGTATAGATCAAAAAGAAATTATTCATGATAATTATCACCTTTTTTTCACATTTCATGATAGAGAATAATCGTTAAATTTATTATATAGCAGTGTATTTCTGATGATGTAATAGAAGATCAATCAATTTTTGATAGACAATTCTCAGTAGAACACGACTATTAAAACAATTCGTTTGGACAAATGGAAGCAAACAGAGCAATGAGATAGAAAGTAAAATGGTTTAAATCACTAAATCCATTGTATACTTCATCACTGTAGTCATATTCAGTATAAGAAGTTTATGTCCCGATAAACATAATGAATGGTAACTTTTGTGATCCATTTATGGATCGTATAATTGTTAAATAACTAAACTATTCATATTCATGTCCCTCTTATTATGAGCTTGCTTTTGACCTATGAAGTGTTATTATAAGATTTACCATTCTTGAATTATACCTTGTCTATCACTTACTCTCCCTCATTCACAGCCACATTTGACTGAAACTTGTAAAAATGTTGTTTCTTATTTTATGGCACAATGTGGTCTATTTGGTTGATATATAAACCCAGTATGTTTGAAATCAATGATTCATATGGCAGAGGCTGAGATGTGTGTTCTGGATGTAACAGGCTGAGCTAGGCAGGAAGCAGGACTCTAAACTCCTAGCACGGGTTTTATGCGTCATTGGCCCGATCGATAATTCATTGCTCTCTAATTGGCGGTATCGTTTCGATATATATCAACAGGGCATACAGACCACAAGTTATAACAAATAGCTACATGTATATGGAGACGGAATGAGCATATATAAATAAACTGAAATTCTGCACTAAACAGAGATGGATGGTGGATAGTAATAAAATTCAGGTTACGCGTTTCACTCTATCTGGGACCTATCAGCCAGATGTACATGCATCCCAGAGTTGGTGGTCGACCAGGGACTCGAACACAGTACCGTTCGCTTCAAACGTCGTCACGTTGTCCGCTTAGCTACTGAGTCCAGATAGCCCTGGCTTGTGCAATGGCGTGAATTTTAATTCATACATAAAGGTTATTTGAATCTTCTCACTGGTGTTTAGAACTGCAGTTGATAAGCCACCATCCATCTTTGCTTAAAATGCTTGTAGCTTGATGGTTATATCGAGGTAATTTGTACATAATGCACATATGTCAAAGGAAACTGACCAATCGCAGTTCTAAACATCAATCGGAAGATCAAAACAATCAACATATACGAATTGTGTACTTAATTCAACAAAATATAACGTTGAGAGGAAAACATTCAGATTGTTATTTGTAATAGATTTTGTGAACCATAGTGCAAATTCTTGAACACTAAATTACTATTTATTCGTTTATCAACCAATCTAGTCAGTTTGAAGTCCTAAATGAACTAATTGAAGTGTCTGCCGTAAACTCCGCATAATTTATGTGTTATAAATTATCGCAGGCAATTAAAAGATCACTTAATAAACAGTTAATTTGTAAATTATGATAATGCAACTAATTTCTTAGCTTTGAATTTGTTGTAAGCGAACTATTAGTAGTACAAGTATTCTACAAGGGAGCAGACCTTAAGCTACACACATCCACCGTGTAGTGTAATGCAGACTACGTATAGAAGTAAGTTAGAAGAATTTTGGGGGCGGTTAGACCAAGACGTAGTATTAGTCCATGAAGTTGCTAGCAATGCGACTGGGTCATGTCAATAGGTGTAAACTACCACGAAGATTATCGTAGCCGATATTTAGAGAATGGATGATATAGCTCGGAATCGTTTGCCCTGTCCAATGTGCATTCACTCTTTATCTTCTTTTATAACGTGTGTAAGGAATTCCCATTAAACGTTTTAATACTTGATCTTATTTTTTTACTACTGACACAATTACTACTTATATACTACTACTCTAGGATTTGTCTTGCTAATATGAAATGGCAAATTGAACTGATCGACATAAATGTCAGGTTCGACGCTGTGCATGTCTGAGTAAGTACATATACTTTTTATTCGAAAAGAAAAAAGATTTATACATTTTAAAGAAAATTTATGATATTGCAACTAACTTTTACAGAGCTAATCAAATACGCGTCAGATTACATAAGAAAATTAACTAGTTAATGAAATCTACTATTTCACTACTCATAAGTAGCTTATTACGTTCAATATAAGTAATTCGGCCTAATCAACGTATGGCTTTTTGTACAATTTTTAAATGCAGAAACCAATTAGCAGAATAAAAGGAGTAAATGTCTAACAAGTGAAGTGGGGCTCAAATCACTAGTTGATGGATTTTATACAAAGAATAAACACGAAGTTGCAAAGCAAAAAGAAAACATGTTACATAACTGAAAATCATAGTGCATTGTATTAATTGCAAAGATTGATAGTGGCTAGCAGTGGAATCCAGGATGAGCGTTTTGTCCTGTTTGGGACTCGTCAGATGAATGTGCTTGCATCTCAGAGTTGAAGTCCACTTCGAGACTCGAAGTCAGTATCGTTCGCTTTAAACGCCATCAAGTTATCCACTTAGCTACTGAGTCCACCTTTGCATATAATGCATGCGAATTAAGGCTATATCGATGCAATACGCACAATATGCCAATAACAGACTGATCAACTGCAATCCTAAACATCAATGGGAAGATTCAAATAAACAATACCAGGTGAATCATTGTGTTAACTGTTGACAGTAGTGTATTAGTTAAAACACCTTAGGAAATATGACTTGACACGTGCTAACTTGAACAGATGAATATCTATAACAAATACCATGTTAATCGAAGATGCAATCGTAATACAATATGACTAACAATATCTTGATTAACATATAGGATTAAATTATGGGGTGTATTTATGCTTAATCGATGATAGAGCCAAATAGCCCCCAAATGCCCTGGTACGGCTGAGAGTAGGGAGAGTATGCTCTCCCTCTCGAAATGCTCTCACATGGCCACGCGTAAATAACATGCTAACAAAGTTATTTTAGCCACCTTGCAAAATGAAATAAGGATACACAAAAGAACCCAACCAATAGTGATCAGATCAATGCTAAACATGATCGAAATCAAAAGCACGTTTATGAAAAAAAACAATATAAAAATACTGAATTAATTACCTTCGAGCTATCCTTAATGTTAGACTACGGAAGAATCGTCCTGGTCGAGAATGACTAGATGATCCATTTTTTGAAACTGTAGTTGACGGAGTTTCTAAAGTCATTGAAGAGTCTGAATAGTTCTTTAATTCCGTGGAACAATTGATATTTTGATTTGGATCCACATTTTTCTTGCTTGTTGTCATCTGTTTCGACTCAGCAATAGATGGAATATTGTTAGTTGTAGTCATCATAGTATTGTTTGGTCGATGACGTACTGACCATTTAATAATTGAATCTCTTTTTAACGATGCCGTTGTTGTAGGTAATTTAAAACCGTGTGATTTTGAATCAGATCTTTTTCTATCATTATTAATCGTCTTCTCATCTGTGTTCAATGTATCAAGTGCCTTGAAAATGGAATCAGGCAATGCAATTCGACCACTAGGTGATGAAGATTGTTTATTATTTTGTTGTTGTTGTTGTGTAATTTTCGCAGAATTCATTGTACCTGATGAAGATGTTGGATCCATTGTTGAAGAATGACTATCAGTGAAAGTAAATGATTCAGGTATTTTCGTATTCAGATTATTATTCTTCTGATGATCATCAGATTGATTTGTTGATAATCTTTTCGATTTTTTAGTTTTATTAATATTAAATAAAGAATAAGGAATACTTGGACGATTTACATCACTTTGTTGATGTTTTTGTCGATCATTCGTATGTAAAATATCAATGATAGAATTAGTATCATTCGAAGGAACTTTACTACTATTATTAATAGTATTATTATTATTAGTAGTAGTAATGGGTAAAGTTGTTGTTTTAGGCTTGGAATGAATTGAAGTATCTTTATGCTTTTTTCGATACGGAAGTGTTCTACAATTGTAAGTAACAAAGAAAAAGAAATCAATTAAATTGAAGGGAATAAGAGAGGAGAAGAAGGGTGAATTCATTAACTGACAATGATGAAGTGTAAGATGTTATTGTTATATAATACACGTTATGGTGGAATGAAAAAAAAATATGAAGTATTTAACTATCATGTTAGTTGCTTATTTAAAATTTCATTGATATCACTTCATACACACACTTAAATGGTTACGCATTGAATGCTCTGGTTAATTGTGTAGATTTCTATATCTTTTTAAACAATATGCTCAATTATTGTTATTTGCAAAGATGATTCAGTTCAGTTCAACTTAGCTAAGAGTTAATTAATAAATGTTCTTTACCATTTAGAGGAAAAAATTCGGCGAGACTCTAATTTATGGACGAGCCAATCAGAAGCGTTTTAGAGATTTCAAGGTTACGGCGTCAACTTCAGTGCTTAATGCTAAAGTACGATCGGTTCACAGCGAATTTTGTACAAAACGTGACAATCGAGCAGCTATAACAAATAAAATGGTGAGACTATAATTTGTGGACGAGCCAATCAGGCATAAGATAATAAATCTCAGATTTTAACGCGAAAGCCTTTCATCTATTTGGCTAAATAAATTTCTGGCATGATAATTGATGTCAGTTCGTGATGAAAACCCCATATATAATTCCTAGCTAAGGCAAATTACGACGATTATCGCGAACTGGATAATAAAAGCACCAGTAACACTGGCTGCAGCCAGGTACTACAATATGTACGGATGTTTGGAGAGAGTAAAGACTCCTGCATAGGCTTGGTTATATGCATCGTGTCTTTATCCACAAGTAGCATTTTGTGCACTCAACAACCGGAGTGCACACAAACAATATTGACGCTATGTGGTCGAGGCTGAAAGAGTTTTTGAGACTTTATCATGGCCCCAAAGGCCGACTATTCTGTAGCCATATGGATGATTTCTTTTACTGCATGTATTACGATTTAAGAACCTCTTTTTAACCTTGACAAGTTTTTGAACCATGTAAAAGAAGTCTATACACTTTATTTCCATGGTTTTGTATAATATATTTTTACTCTATACTCAAGATTCGTTCAAAGGTCGTTTATAAATTATAGACTCGCCAAAAATTCCACTGAACCATCATTTACTGATACAGTCAGTCAGAAAAAGAAAGCACTTCAAACAATTAACTCTCGAGAAAGAACATGTCAGTTATTTCAAATCATACAGTTTTGATTCCTTTGGGATATTATGTGCTAAACAAATAAAGCAAACTGTTTCATAATAAAAATGCAATGTCTGTAAAACATACGCCATTTAATAGGAAAGATATCATAAGAATTATATTCAGTGGTTGTTATTGGTAAGTTCTTTCAAAGTGATAGAATCAACTTCATTTGCGAAAATAAAGAAGTTTAAGAGAGCGGAGAAGAAAAAAAAAAGATTTTTATCCACTGACGAAATGATTTACACAAGGGTTATGAAACATGAGAAAGAAATTCAATTCTACTATTGAAAAATGAGATAATTATAAACACTTCAATATACATAAGGGAATGATCATATGAAATCTTGACAAGTTATGAATTACATTGATGAAACAATATTATTGATGAATTTGTCGACTATATTATGGAATTATTCTAATTTGTTTCAGTTCGTACGTAAATTATATGCAGCATACTATTCACCGTTTTCATCCATTAAGTTGCAGATTCGAACTCTAATATTATCTTAGTTGTATATTAAATCTGCAAAGACACTGTTTGCTCCTAGATATCGTGGTACAATAATAAGTGAGGAGAACATTTTCTTTATAACAGTCACGTAATTATACGTTCAGACTAACTGTAAAGGGAACATTCGACACTAAAAGCCGATTGGTGAATATAGAGAAAGAAAACTGGAAAACACTGATTCCAAATCAATGCCGTATGTGAACTCCAAATTTTCTGAGAAAATATATGGTATATGAGCCTATTTTAGATGCTGGCTAATATCGCACTGATTCTCCTGTCGATACTTCACCAGCTTGTAAATTCAAACAACTAGGTCAAAGGAATGAGAAATCTCATCCTAAGAAGACTATCTGCTTAAGCTTAAGTGTTCAGCAAGTATCTTAGCCTATAGTCACAAATAAAGAAAATACCCTATTCGTCCAGTTTCATTATTTGTTTAAGAACTATTTAAAACAATGCAAAATTTGGATTAAATTTGTAGCCGAATAATGCTGTACTTATTTGTAATTAGAAGTAGTATTGTTAATGCGGACAGGAAGGTGTACACATGATAAATACTAAGCTGAAAAGAAAAATAATCCGACAACATATACACAGTATGTTGAATGAAATATATCGATTTGAACATAAAGAATAATGATAAGTAACAAAACAATATAATCTTCATTTCACAATTATCTTAAAGGGCATCCAAAATGCCATGGGGTACGGCCGAGTGTGGTGAGTCAACCCTACTTCCAAAAATCCTCTCACATGGCCACGTGCAGACAACCAATGTCAGGGAAGTCCTACTCACTGAGTTCTCGCGGCATTTCTGCTGTTTACGAAATTGACAACACAAACAGCGAATATCCGGTGCTTTAACTGGGTCGGTAGATACGGAGAATCCATCTAAGGGAGTTGGAAAACCCTAATTCCAAACTAATGGTGCACATGGGTTGGCTCCAGGATCTTGAAAGAATAAATGGAGTATGCACCTACTGTTGGTCCCCGGCTGCCATGGAGCTGCATCTCCTGACGTTGCTCCACTGCCTTGTGGATTAGACCTTTAGGTCAAAGGCTTAGGAAATAGCTTTAGAAGGAAACCACCTACTTCGGTTTGGGTACCCAGGCAGTAAGTATCCAAACCCTCACACAAATCGAATGATTTATGTGGTGTATATCTGTTTGGTGCCTCCTTGTACCAATTTTTATGTGTTTGAATAAATAAATGAATAATATCTCAAAAAAGAATTGAAATATTGGAAGAATAGTTCTAATTACTATTGATAGGGTATTACGTTTTCAAAGATTATTACTCTTATTTTAAGCTCCATTCTGTCCTCATACGTCTTAACACTTCAGTAGAAATGTCATCAGTTACATATTTACTTATAAGAGTGACAAAATGCTTTAAGCTGTCGATTACATACATTCAGAAAATCTTGGTTATACTATAAGAAGGAAGGTGTATAGAACATTTCAGTTTCCAGTTCAATAGTTGACTAATACAAATCAACAGTTATTTGTAAGCATATTTACACTTGCCTTAGAAAACATGGTATTTAGAGATGTTTATAGTATGCAATTCAAGTCAAAACTGTTAATATGATGGTAAATGTCTCTTACAACAATTACATTTTTACATTTGGACAAATATTCACAATCTAGAATTGGTGTTTCTAATATATGTCACTTTATAATACATCATAGGGTTAACGACTAGTATAAAAGTTTTAATTTCAGTGATAACGAATGAAATCATATATGCGCCACACAAGTCATCTAATTTGTGCGTGGGCTGTGATACTGCCCGGGTACCCAGACCGAAACAAGTGATCTTCTTAGAGGGCCACACCTGAAGTCATTGACCTAAAGGTCTGATCCACATGGTAATGGAGCAGTATCAAGAGATGCAGTCCCATGGGAGCAGGTGACCAACAATAGGTTCACACACCATTTGTTCCTTCAGAATCCCGGAGCCCATGTGCACCAGTGGTTTGAAATCAAGGTTTTCTAACTCCCCTAAATGAACCCTCCATATTCACCAACCCAGCTAAAGAACCGAACATTCGCTTTTCGTTCTCTCAATTTCGTAAACAACACCCCCGTCACGAGCACATAGTGAATGAATACACATTGGAGATGTTATTCATGAACACAGATAACACAAAAGAAGAATTGATTACAATAAGAAAAAAAACATACACATATGAAATAAATTCCTTAATATATAACAAGTAAATGATGGAGAAGATTTGTAGATCATTTGAATGATTTTGATAGAGTTTCACTTCTCTGAACTAAATGGTTTAGTTGTGGATTATTCATCATTCTTCTGAACAATATCACCAGCATAAATTTGAAGTTTTTACTGAATGATGAAAGTTCCACGATCAAACCATTCAGTTCAAAGAACCGAAACTTCATCAAAAAACAATAACAAGTACTTTATTGATTCTACTAATTAATCATTGAAAAAAAGGTTATCACATATTTCAACTGATCTGAGCATATATATATATGGTGAATGTTGTAGGTACAAAATTAACCAATCAAATTAATTCGGTTGTTGTTACTATGTCTATTACCATATTGATCGATCATAAAGTGCATATAATAGTGAATGGAACATCTATGATAAAATATAAAAAGAAAACTACCAATGAAAAACTGACTTTAAAAAGAAGACGTTTATTTGAAAGAAAAAAAGGATGATTTACCCAGTAAATGATCATAACTTCTTTATCTATTAATCTCTGTGTAACAATCCTGGATGAACTAATCAGGTATAAAGATAATAGGTCTTGGATTTTGGTCACGAAATTTATTTAGTTCAATAGAGTTTTACCATTATAGCTAATTGTTAATTCATGTTGAAAACTTTAAATGTCATTTCTAACTTTAACCATCAATTGTATATCATAATTCTTATTCTACACACTACTTTATAATCTTCATTTAGTCTCAATTAGTAAGTGGACACTCGCAAGATCACATTAACATCACTCAAGGATCGTCTATAAATTATCATCTCATCACATTTCTAAATTTCTAAGATGAAATCATTTCAACGGTATGTTGACATTTGAAGTTGATTGAACGAAAAAAAAATACAGAAACAAAGACAAGTGGAAATTGGATTGTACCGAAATTAAACCACAACATCTAAATTTCCAGGGGTTGAACTTGTACCGGGAGGTTCACTTGTTGACTTAGAATATGCAGATGACATAGTTTTATTTGGTGAAGACGCTGACAAAATGCAGAGTCTTCTGACCACTCTAAGCAACAATGCAAGCATGTTCGGGATGCGATTCTACCCCTCGAAATGTAAAATGTTGCTTCAGGATTGGGTTACATCCACACCCGAACTAGTGATAAGGAGTGAAGTAGTTGAGTGTGTCGGCCACCTCACTTATCTTGGAAGTCTCATCAGCCCTTGTGGTTTAGTGTGTGACGAAATCTCAGCACGGATACAGAAGGCTCGACTAGCTTTTGCCAACTTGCGTCATTTATGGCGTAGGCGAGATATCCGTCTACCAACCAAAGGACGTGTTTACTGCGCAGCAGTTCGTTCCGTTCTACTTTATGGCAGTGAAACATGGCCGGTAAGAGTAGAGGATATCCGTAGGTTACTAGTATTTGATCATATGTGTCTTCGAAACATTGCTCGTATATCATGGGACCATCGAGTAAGTAACACAGTTGTTAGGAAACGGGTACTAGGTAAAGATGGCAAATCAATTGATGAAGTAGTGAAACTTCATCAGTTGAAGTGGCTGGGACACGTGTTACGAATGCCCAACGACCGACTGCCTCGACGTGCTATGTTCAGTGGTATAGGAGTAGGTTGGAAGAAAGCTAGGGGCGGCCAAACCAAAACATGGCACAAGTCCATGAAGTCACTGACAAATGGACTGAGTCATGTTGGTAGGTGCAGACTACCTGGTTGGGGACCGCGAGATGATAGCAACCGATGGTTAGAGACCCTGAATGCTATGGCTCAAAATCGTTTGCAATGGCGCAGGTGCATCCACTCTCTGTGTTCTCCTAAATTCTAATCTTCTGAATTCTTCATGTCCCTTTTTTCCTCTTTACAAATTTAGTTCACTGGATTATACTTTTTAAATAACATCTCCAAACCCTAATCTTCCCGATTACTGCTTATACTCTTATTTCCTCTACCACTACGGGATTTGAATCGACAACTGCATCTCTGTGCTAATGTGGTGTGGCAACTCGAACTGATGTACGTACGTACGAAGTTCTACGTTGTTACTGACTGATATGGGGAACAGAGTATACGAAAAATGAAATATTCATTTAAACAGTTGAGATCATGAGTCAATTGAAGCTAGACTACCATGGAAAACCTGGAAGCATTGGACGGACGTTTCGTCCTAGTATGAGACTTCTCAGCAGTGTGCATCCACGATCCTTCACCCCAGGACCTATCAATCTCGCGCCAGGCGCTTAACCAACTAGACCACTGAGCCGGCATCCGACGGTGTTAATGTCTAACATGGAACCGATCAATTAGTTTGAATAAATAGAATCTAAATGTTCATATCTGAGATATCAATGATAATAGTTAAAGTAACAAGTAGTTGTGCAATGAAAAAAAATCCAGGACACACACACACACTCACAAAAAGTACAAGAAAAGCACGAACATCTATAGTGCATTAGTTCAAAGGTGCACATCAAATAGTCATAATTACATGAATACACATAGACACAAATATACATGAATCTAGGATAATTATAAAAGTACACAAATATATATTGAGGAAACACAAAGATTTGTCAATCCCATTTCCTCTATCTTTCTTTCTCTCTCTTTATCCTTTAACCATAATGCTTAGTTGAAATGTGCTTCGGAAGAGAATTATGATAGACAAAATAATCTACTGATGAACTATCAGTTGTTATTTAGTAGATATTTCATAATATTCTTATGGAAAGTTAGATTATGAAGAGCAATTCATTTAGTTAATAATTCAACTAAACTTATATATATTATGTCTAATAGATTAGTACTTTAAATGGTCGTAACTATTGTTCAACTTTTTTTATTGATTGAGATCATAAACCGATTGATGTTTCACCACCATTGAAAACCTGGAAACATTGGACGGCCATTTCGTTCTATTGTGCGACTCATCAGCAGTATGCATTCACGATACCGCCCGCGGGATCTGAACTCAGGACATACGGTCTTGCGCACGAACACAACCTAGAAGACCACTAAGTGGGCATCCAACGATGTTAATGTCTAACTTCAACCAATCCACGAAATTGCGCAACCATCTTCCATTGTACTGAAGAGGATACCTGTCACTATGCGACACGGATTAGCTCCACTAGTCATGGCTTCTCATTAGAACTCTGAGAATTCCCTCACGAAGCTAGTCACTAATGAGCAAATGGTAATTATCAGTATAGGGTTGTGGAGATTATTAAGTTATTGATTGAGATCATGAACCTGACATAGTGTATACTATAAATAATAGATTATAGAAGGTGACATTCATGGATTATAAAATTTCATGAACTTCCTAAGGAGAACAGATCATCATAAACTTTGATAACCGTAATCAATTGTAATTTTAATTTTACAGATTGTAAAATGATTGTCGCAGCCCACAATATGATAGAAGTAATTGCAACAGACTATAAAATAGAAGTATCATTAAGTGAAGTTGAAAATATTTTGAAGATTATCATTGTATTATGGTGATTATGGTTGGATTAAGGAGAAGTGATTAGTTTGTGCGGTTAGAATTACAGCCTCATGTAAATAATGTTAAGATCTGATTTATGCAAAAATTAATATTAATTATTGATAAATGAACTATGAAATTGAAAAACGCACGATAAATGTTTAAATGTAAAGTACCTGAACTTCTTCGAAATGAACAACATCTGAAGTCGATCAATGTGAACGTCAGGTGTTTATATTGTGATGACTCAATCAAATTAAAGTGGATGGATGGAACATGTCAATTAATCAAATGAAAAATGGAACCTGGAAGGCGTGTATTTCGGTTTAAGTTGCCGTAGCTCATAAGTGCAAAGAGATGAAAGTTTTAGAACGAATCCCAAGGTAATAGAGGTAGTAAGAGTATTAAAGGTAACAGATAATTATAAGCAACGAAGTTATGATTGGATGGAACACATATTCTTATAGGTCCCCACCAAACCAGGTGGGTTGTAATGATAGCGGTAACATTATAAGATAATGAACGGGTAAGGAAACGCCGGTTCCATCGGATGAACTTTCGTCGCTGGCAGATGACCGACGTACGGAGGTATTACATCTAAAACTGTACACAAAAAGCGTGAGATCTCAAATAGTTGTCTCTTGAGCTCTAAAACGACGCTTTTACGTTGACAAGATCATTATCAATCTGATTTATTCTTTATATATTTCGAGGGAAAATATTTTCCTATAGTGTACACAACCAGAAACTGACAACCGTACACATACCTCTAACATTTAACGTTAATAAGAGCAATATTTAGGGGGGGGGAAACAGTGCAAAGAAACACGGGTAAGCACACACACACACACACATAAACCAGCACAAAAATCTATGTTAATAGCCATTACGGAAAAAAATAACAGAAACAATGACATCAGTTTGTTTTTTCTTGTGTGCCTCTTCCAATTAACGAATTGATTACCTCACACTTTGGACCAAGGGAGGCAGAATTTTACCCAGTAAAAATAAAAATAAAATGTATGTGAAGTAAGCAAAAAAAAACACAATTAGGTTGCACTACCTTCGTAACCATCCGATGAAGCTGTTGAAAAAATACAATAGGATAAAAAATATCTTAAATTAATTGTATGCACACAGGTACTCAATATAAGCATATATATATACGTATAGCCATATAACAAATAATGAATAGCAGTTGTCTATCAAACTGCAAACCGTATGCCAAAGAAACAAAAGTGATGTCTTTAAACCAAATTTTGAAATGATCACCACTTCTATAACACCGTCAAGTTCATTTGTTAATTACTATTTACCAATCAGAAGAGAGGCAGTGTACTCAAATTTAATCAATTGAATAATGCATTTAACAAAGTTGATTATAACAATTATAGATCGTTAGTTAAGTACTTTAACTATTAAATCGTCATTTAAGAAAATGATCAAAGAGTTTTATCACAGTATAATGATTTATTTAGGATAATACACCCAAGTCATACAAATCAAAAATACCATTTATGACTAATTATTTCATTAATAAGGAGCTCTACAACATCTGTCTGGAGAATAATAATACTCTAACGACTTCCTGACATAATTTACCACTAACTACTAAATAACGATCGAATAACGATGTCCTTGAACGATATAGTACATTTTTCACTTCAACAGAAATACACTTTGCCAAAAGTATCATACCAAAACTGTTTTAAAAAAAGACTAACTCTCCAGAAAAGAAAAAAAAACGAAAATGCAATTGTTCAGTCTGGTCAAGATCACAGATCTAAAATATCAAGAGAATAAACAGACTGTTATAAAATTCTGCACATAAAGAGAAAATTATACCATTCTGAATATATCCGCAAAACTTCTATAGAAATCACCATAAAGCTTATAGGAAATTTTATTACATTTTACACAGACTGAAAAACAAAGTAGTAAAATAAAATATGGAGTACCATTAAGTAGAAAAAGTACTGTTCCGGACTTCTCCTTCAACTATGTAAACACGAACAGACTAACAGTGAAGGTACGTGATACATCATTTATATAAACACAAGTGAACAACTATAGACACAGATATAACTGGGAAAATGTTTGGATCCTGGATAACGGAAATTCCAAGAAGCCCAAAGAATTTCTGTAAGCAGCTAGTGAGACCATCAAGTACAGCCGGGGACCTGGGATATATATCTATGTACATATATCACCTCGAGGTGCTATACCACCATATCAGCAAGTCAGTCAACTACAACGTAAGACCAGGCACATATATGCATTGGTCCAAGTTGCCACATCTCATTAACAAAAGAAGATGAACGTCAGATTCATAGAAGTAGTTAATTCAGTGGTGGTAATATATAAAAGAAAGATTTCATATAAGGACAGCAAAACAAATCCTAGCGTAGTAGAAGTATTAATAATGTCAGTAGTAACAGAAGAGATTAGGTGTAGAAAAAGAAGAAAAGATATAAGGAGATTTCAGAATTTAGATTCTAAAAGAAGGTAAGGAGTGAGTGAATCTGCGCCACGTTTATTACACTTATAGTCCAGAGTGACGACGATAGTTTATCAACAAATCTAAAAAAACTACCTATTATAAGTATAACGTATGGGCAATTAACTTAATTTTGACTTGTAAAACTATAAACCAGATAAAACGACTATATTTATCACAAAAAAGTTATCCGATTCATCCCAGTTTATGATGAAAATTCACATGGATCTTGTTATGACTTTATGTTCAGCTTTTTATCACGTGATTTATTCACCAATCAAAATACGACTTATACAATCTTCGAACTGTGCGAAAACCAATGACGTCCGACCGGTATGAGCAGCTTAGCGTCCTGATCGGTTCTATATCCTCCTAGCCCGTCCACTTGAGTCCAGAACACAATACCAGCTTCTGTAGTATGAATCGAATCATTTATTTCAGACATACTGGGTTTATATATCAACCAAATAGACCGCAATGCACCATAAAATAGGAGATAACATTTATACACAATAAAGCCAAAAAGTGTCTGTGAACGTGGGAGATTGTAATAAATAAACTGAGTATAACTTAGGAACAGTAAATCGTACAATAATAATTTATAAGTCAAAATGAAGCTCTGTTTATATACTAATCAAGCAGACCACATCGTACCATACAATAGAAAATAATATTGTACAATATTGACCAGTAGGAAAATGACACGTGAAATAAGTACTGACCAATAAGAGAATAATACCATCTCCAAGTCTAAGAATAGCATTAGACTTGATAGAATAATTTTTGGGATATTTTCCCCATAGTTATAAAGTTCAAAAGTAACAGAACCAAAATTACAAAAATTAAAAAACAAAAAAAAACAAGTGGAAGTATGAAAAATAGTTCTTTTGAAAAAAATCTTATACTGATGGCCAGGGTAGAGGAAGTGATTGTACGATTCTCTTTTGAATACAAACGTCAGGTTTGTGAATATGGATCGCGATGGCTTCCGCAATGTGCAAGAGGCGCACTCGTAAACCCTGTGGCAAATTTGATGGGATATTTTAGATAATCTTAAAAGCTTTATTCAATTCAACTTGATGACCTGTGTCAACCAAGTGAGAGAGAGAGAGAATAGAACTTTTAATCTCTTTTACCTGTCCTTTGCTTACCCATGACGGATAACATTATTCAGTTAATTTGGCTCAGAAGTTACTCGTGATTTAATCTTCACTTGGATATAACAGAAGATTTCAAAATGCACAATATCTCATTATTATTATTGAAGTAAATCATAGCTATATGTTAATTATTAACATTGAAAATAGATATCTCAAGTCTGGAATGAATCGATGACCTGAAAAGTCGGCTAAAAATCGAGTTGATTTAATAACTTTGTGCATAATCGTGATTTAATCTTCGCTCGGATATAATAGATCTTTTTCATGATAATTAATTTGTTCAAAGAATTATTAAGAACAACAAAGAGAAATACTGTATGTAGTCATTTCTTATTTATCGAAATACTTCAAAAGTACCTTGAAGATTAGAGTTATATATTTGAAACATTGAAAGAATACAAAAGAAGATTTAAATAAATGAATAGATGATCATTGATGATAATTAAACATTTGTCAATTATGAACACTAAAATCATAGCAAAACAACATGATAAAAGTGTAAGGACAAGTTCAAGTAATTCTTAATAATGATCATCTGATCATGAAGACACTTTCAACTAACTAGCAAAGAGTTTGTACAAAGCAAAAAGTATTAAACAGTAGAGATAATAAACCGTGTTAAAGTTTTGTCATTTTTATACATTTGCTAGTTTATCAAAGCTCATTATTAGTTATTTCTAACCTTAATATTGTAGAAATGTTGTTACGTAACATCATGAATCTAAGTGAATATAATTTCACACTGAAATTTTCTATCTGAATTCTTTCATAAAGTCAAAAATCTTTTATAAAACAATTTGCTAAAGGTTTACAGAAATGGGAATACTGCTGGCGTTAAGCTGAAAAATGAAATTCATCAGTCAGTCAGTCAGCTATAACGTAGGAACAGGGGCACATATGTCCATCGATCCAAGTTGTCATACCACAACAAGATAAACACCAAATTCATAGAAGTAGTTAATTCAGTGGTGTTAATGTATAAAAGAAAGATTACATATAAGGATACAATACAGGAAAGAAGAATCGGTTGGTAGAAGAAAAAATATGAAGCGATTTTCATCTCATAATTTAAGGGAAGACAAAGAGTGTATGCACCTACGTCATTGTGATCGATTCTGAGCCATGTCACACACAGTCTCCAACCATTGGTTACGATAGTCACATGGACAACAATCAAGTAGTCTGCATCTACTAACATGGCTAACACTACAAGTTACTGACTACAAGCACTGATGCCACGTTTTGGTTTGACCGCCCGTAAATTTCTTCCTGCTACGCCTAACACTAGTCAGCATTGGACGTCGTGGTAATCGGTGTTCACGCATACGTAACACGTGGCCCAACCATCTCAGTCGATAAAGATTCACAACCCCATCAACTGATTTACCATCATTCCGGTGATCCCAGTAGATCCAAGCTATATTTGTAAGACATCTGTGATCAAATACTAGTAGCTTACCAGTATCATCGACTCTTAATGACCATGTTTCACTGATATACATACATTTAAACTAATCTTTATTTTGACATTCCTATTTGATTAATTCGTTGTTGTATTTACTAAGCTAATCAATACAACTAAGTCAATTGAACTAAAACCTGATTAATCAACACATTATGTAATCATTGTAAATAATAAAAACTGAATGCGCTTGATACGTTTAACATTCATATGACAACAACAACAACAACAACAAACAAACAAACAAAAAAGAACTTTCTCTGAACAATTTTAAGAATTCTAATAATAATGCAAAATTATTCACATAGTAAATTACATATGATGAAACTTAGTCACTTTTGGAATTTCACACAAAAGCTTGTAAATTATGTTAAAGATACTGTATTAACTCATTTCTTAGAATAATGGTGTTGAGGAGTACAACTTACACATTCGAATTCATAACATTGAAAAGAGTAAAATGAAATTGTGCGCAAAAATATCATTGTTCACACACACACATACATACATACACACAGATGAAATATACTCTGACGACAGTTAGTGTGGATTTCGTAAATAACTATGCGTGAAGGGGATACTTCATGCTAGAAAGACTTCAAATGATCTAATTCGCCTTATCTTGGTTTTATCGACAAATTGTTACTCTGATGAATAAACAAGTCATTTGTAACTTTTTTTTTTTCAATTCACATAACCATACTGACCGGTTATTATGGTTTTGGTATCTTTTTGTTATCGATTCAGGTTAGACTGATGACGTGAAAATTCCTATAATTGGAGTTAAAATGCCGTTGAAAACGGAGAGTGAGTAAATATACCAAGATAACAATACTAATAACAAGTACGACAATTATATTGAATCAGCTGCAATAAGGATAATGTATGGAGATGATGAAAGTTCTAACGCGCTAACATTAAGTCCTGAGTAAATCATTGTCATCATTGAATAAATAATCACTACCGACAAGTTGATTGGAAACAATCATCATTTTTTGTCCAACTTATTCATTATGTACTCAGGTATGAAAGTCTATGATATTAACTGTATGCCCGAACAGAAGTAAATAAAGCAGGGTTCGAACCCAAGACTTAGTGTCGAACCTCTGAACCATTGAGTAACCGCTCCACAACATCATCATAATATCAAGAAAATCTGTCGAACAACAACTACTTGTAAGGTATATTAAGTAATGTGATAATAGAACAGATGAGAACTTACGGATTCTCTTCTGAATATGGAACAGCTGGATTTAATTTAATTGTTTGTTGTTCATTACCATTCTGCTTACTAGGTGACGATGATGAAGATGATGCTGACGAAGAAGACTTGTCAGCTGACTGTTTGATCGGTGAATTTTCACTACTACTAGTTGTTGGAGTAGTTAGTGAGCTGAAATAGTTCACAATAGTCCCAATAATAATAATAGTAATAACGATTATCACAATGATAGTACTACGAATGACTAACTACGATCAACATCACTACATACAGAAAGGATATTAATAAAATATAAACTAAGCAAAAGCCGGTAATAATTATATCGATGTCAGCAACAAGAGAAACAGTTAAGGGATTAATTCAAAGAAATGATTCAATGAATTATAGTGAGAAGCTATGAACAGTGGAATCCAATCAAATGTGACTGATTGAACGATAGGTTAACAATATCATGAAATACAACGACAGAACAGATATCAAGTGCTTTATAGTTTTCATGGTTTATTTATAAGTAGTATGTTGTGGAACGTGGTGTCTAAGTTTCAATAATCGTCAGACGGAGTGAAGAGCCTCAGTACAGAGAAAGCACGACGTAGGCAAAATACTTAGAGAGCAGACAAGAAGACAGTTCAGATTGCAGAACACATCGAAATATGCAAAATGGATAATTGAAGGCTGTGTACATGTATTATGTAAACGCTTTGTAACTTATCACAATAAATACAGATTCTTTCTGCATATTGCCTTATTTTACAGTCTAAATACCCTAATCAATTCAAATAAATTAACCAACAACGAACCATCTTAGTCGGGTAAGGAAAGATTAACTATACAAACTACTCAGCTAATATACATCCACAAATTGATAATATGCAAAAATACGTTTATCGTTTGACAGAAAGTCTCTATCAGACATAATACGTATAAAAACAAAAAAACCTTACTTTGGTATATTTGACATTGGTGGTGCTCTAGACAATGGACATTTCAAACCAGGTGACTGGGAATCTGAACCATTCGGGCGAACCTTATCTGCCATACTAAAAGTATTCATACGTCGTACAGATAACTGATCACCACCACTAGAGGATTCTATCATTATATCTTTACTTTCATCGATTTTCTCTTGACCAGAAGAATCATCTAGATTAGAGTCATTAGCACGTTCGCGTAGGTCAGATACACGAATACGTGGAAGCAGATGAGATCTACGTGAGTATTTAGAAAGCAAATAAAAAAAAATTAAATAAATACAAAAACAATAATGCTAACAATGTTGGAATTAACCAATCACCGCATAAGCAACAAAAGTCCGCTTATATCTACGCTAGTATCTGACAGATATTAGCAACGTTGGATCTGGTACATGTGTGTATCTGTTCAAGTAGTCACATCACATAAACATAGAGAGCTAAATTATTAACACAAATATTAAAAGTAGTAACATTATCAGTGGTAGTAGAAAAGATTAGGTATAAGCAACATGGTTCAAAAAAGGATAAATTAGAGGAATAAAAAGTTTAAGTTTCTAGACAACAACTGAATGTATCTATGCCGTTACAACTGATTCTGAGCCAAGTTATTCAATGTCTTTAACCTTTTGTTACTGTTATGATGTGGAGAGTCTGTGTATTGATACTTATACAAAATTTTCTTACACATGAACATGTACTATATATATCAGAAAAGTAGTCCGCCAATGGCTTACGTCGCATATCTTGGACAAATTTTCATTATCGTTCCACGACGAAATAGTTGTCTCTAGTGTTTCCTGGATTTAACTGGTTTTCAATATCAATTATATAAATCATAAATGTTAATCTTGTTCTTCAAGCTAAGTCGCTCCATAAACTGATATATTATCAAACTGTTGCAATATAAACCCAAACCAATGTTCATAAAAAAATTTCGTTTAAGATGGATTTCAGAAAAAGGAAGGAGAGCTAGAAATATAGGAAGAGTAAGAGTTAGCAAAGACGATCTCAACTGGAACGGTATGAAACAATGGTCCACGTTAAATATCATCAAGTCACTAGATTTTGTCTGTTTCTGTGACAAAGAAAATTTTCAGACAAAAAAAAACTCAATACAAAATGATCTTGATGACGTCATTTTCACTGAAACTTGATACTAACTGGTAGCTAATGTAAACTTTTGGTAAACGATAACAAAGTAGAAAATGATACTTATTTTTTTAATGGTAAAACGTGATTAGCTATAAAAAAAAACTACCTGCTTCAATTTGGGCATCGAGCAGTATCACAGCCCATACACAAATCAAGTGAATTATGTGGCGCACATGGACAGTCACTATGAAAATGAATCTATCACGTTATATCGAAATTTTAATTTCATTATGGACGGTTATAAAATTTATGTGTTTGGTTGAAATACTGACCGCAGTCCAGGATGAAGCAGGAGATCTACTCGGGAAACCTTTCTTCTGAGAATTAAGACTAATGGATACACCAGTGAAACAAAGTTAAGATATATCGCTCCGTAGATAAAACTAAGTCCGTACCATTATTTCTTCCCTATAGATGTTGATCCAACGTACAACGTTGATTTGGAATCAAGGTTTTTCAATTTCCTCAGATGCACCTACAATACGCACTAGCCCGGTTTAGGCATGAAAGACTGGCCATTCTTTCTTTTACTTTCGCAAAAACTAACCCACAATGTGAAAGGAGTAAGAAGAGTATCGTGAGTGATCTCATGAGAACATTTACAGATGTGATTTTATCCAACTAATAGACATCTAGAATAAATCAAATCTATTTTAAACAATCACAATACAGTAAGATACGTAGAAGGTACATCGATTTACAACGATGTGTAAAATCTTGTCTTTGTCAAAGAAAAAAAATGATTGAGATTACAGCAATGTCTATTTTAAGTATATGGTAAGTCGAGATATTATCTAAAACAGTTAGTAAATAGAGTAGTCAGTAAGTCAGTCAGTTTGGAACGCTGTTAGAAGTATGAGGACGATTATCACTTCCCGGTTGCCCATACCGTGGAAAGGTTCTTCTGGAGGTACCTGAAAAGGAAAATGGATTAAAGGTGGTCTTAGTGACCTGAGAGTGTGACCGCACTACCCAAAAGACAACTGCTTGTGGTCGGTCACACACGACGTTTTTGAGGGTAGTGGGTAGTCAGTGAAACAAGGTTGAACAGTAGTATTCAAATACGATATCTTTGAGGAGGCATATTTAAATATAAACACATAAGCACAAAATACATGAAATGAGAAACAATTGCTGATGATAATAATAATAATAACTCACTTTTCATCTACACTAGATTTCTCTTGCCTATTCGCTGTTGGACCAGCACTTGCACTGGAATTAAAAAAACATTGAAGCGGTTTTGATGAAATAAGAAGAGGATTAATCAGGGAGAGCTGAATCATTCAAACGATCACACCAGACATTTAATCACAGTTAACTCAATCAGCTTAAGTTGACATATCACACAAATAGAAAGGATACTAACAAGATAATTAAACACACACACACACATACACACATACATACACATTGACATTTACATGAATTTATTTCAGTGGTGAAGTGTGAAAATTCAATTGATTTGCTAACCTTTGTTTCATCCAAGAGATACCACTGATCCGTCGTACTCCATTATATTGAGATCCACTATCGTCTTGTCCAGATTCTTCTAAGCGAAAAAAAAACAGGAGAGATCAAAAAGTACGTTACAACTCGAAGTGAAATAATCTAAAACTAGATTTAATTCATGAAAAAAACCCAGTTGAGAAATATATAGACAAACAATAAGCGATAACTTTTCATAGGTTAAACAGTTAGGATAACAGATTAAGAAAATATAAAATGATTGATATTTTGGACACAAGAAGAATTCAACCATGAACAAAGTCAGTATGAATGCTATGAGGTAGTTGTGCAGTTGTTACATTCCAGATTTTCGACTTCTTAAAAAGATACTTATACCGGAGGGACTTGAAAAAGAAACTGAGTTTGTAGTAGTCTCGACGACCATTGAACATAACCATATGGATTAAGTGGCAACTGCATTATGTCAGCCACATAAGACCATTTTGTAAGTAGTCTTGATGCATTAGTTTTGCACATTTCATGCTCTACTAGATTTGAACCCAGGACCTATCAGTTTCTTGCGCAAGCGCGTAACCACTAGACCACTGAGCCGGTATCCAACGGTGTTAATATATATTTTATTTATTTATTTGAACACATAAATATTGGTACAACAGTGCGCCAAATATATATGCGCCACACAAAACAATGGGAATACGAAGAGGAAAAGGGAAATAAAGGTAAGGAGCGCAAAAAAGAACAATAACGAACAGATTAGTGTAAGGTAGTGTAATAATAATAATGGTAATAATGGGGGAACGGAAAGGTACAATCAGAAGAAATCTATCAGTTAAGGAAGATACAACCACTTTTTATGAAGAAAGTAAAAGGTTACAGCAGGATCGCCACTGGCTTCTATTCTGAACCATATCTGATAACGTCTCTAGCCACTGTGTAGCACCATTTCTCGGACCCCAACCAGGGAGTCATGAAGGACCAACACAAGCCAGTCCTTTGCAGCTTTCTTTCATGCCACGACACCATGTCATGCACTGACAACCTCTCCGCTTTTTCCAACCAGTCCCAGAGTCGGCAAATAATGCACGACGTGGAATTCTCTGGGACGACATTCGGAGAACATGTACAAGCCACCGAAGTCGGTGTTTCGAGATAGTGACACCAATTGCATTATCGTCTCTGTGCCCGAACACACGATGCCGAACCTCTGCATTACTGACATGGTGTTGCCACTGGATGTCAGCAATCTTTCGGAGACAGCGATGATCAAACACAGAGTCGTTTAACATCCTCAACTCGGAGAAGCCAGGTTTCACAAGCATAGAGCAGAACTGCTCTCACCGACGCGTTGTAGATCCGACCTTTTACGGCCAGACTAACATCACGAAGGCGCCAAAGGTGGCCCAGATTGGCATAAGCCGCTCTGGCTTTCACTATACGTGTATTGATCTCATCACTCACACCACCACCAGCACTATTGCAGCTACCTAAATACACGAACTTCTCAACTACTTCTATCTGCTCACCATCCAGGGTGAATGCAGGATTCGCTTTTCGTGTTTTTAATTTCGTAAACAATAGTAATGCTGCGAGAAGGCAGTGACTGTATGCATGTGACCATGTGAAAGCATGTTTCGAAGGAGAGCTGACTCTCTCCACCATCGACCGTACTCAAATACTGAGTATACACCACAGCAGATTGAAATCTGATAACAAGTCAACTGACGATCTACGCTTACAATTTACAAATGTGAGTAAATGAAGTACCATTTAAAAAAGTTGATAAATGAATGAAAATTAAAACAAATAAAAATTAAGTCAGACTAAGTTGTTGCATTATTTCGTGAAGTCATTAACCATTGTACTAAACCTTTTTAGATATTTATTTTCCTTGAGTCATATTCTGTATGTAAGTAATTTTCTAATACAACTGCTACTATTCTGTCTTAGTCATTCCAACCTCCTATGTTAATATCGTGTAACAATTTGAACTGGTCAATTTATCCCCCCAAGTTTACATGTCACTTAATAACTAAGTAAGAAAAGTTCCATCACGAATCTGAACTACACTTTTATTATGTATGGAGGTTAATAGATGACTCTGTTGTATGTGTAGAACAGGAATCAGACCATAGACTGTTATAACATGTGGTCTGTGTGCCCCGTTAATGTATAACGTGATGATACAGCCAATTAGAGACCAGTGAATTATCGACTGGACCAATGACGCATAAAACCCGTGCGAGCAGTCTAGAGTCCTGCTTCCTGTCTAGCTCAGCCTGTTACGCCCAGAACACCAAACTCAGCCTCTGACATATGAATAATTAATTTCAAACATACTGGGTTTATATACCAACGAGATAGACCACATTGTACCATAAAATAGGAAACAACGTTTGTACAAGTTTCAGTCAAATGTGGCTGTGAATGTGGGAGATAGTAAGTGATAGACAGAGCATAAATAAAGAATGGTAAATCGTATAATAACAGTTCATAGGTTAAAATAAACCTTATCATAAGAGCAATATGACTATGAATAGTTCAATGACTGAAAAATTATACGATAAAAATATATGCATAGTATTGTTAGATAAATGGATCCCAAAAGTTACTAAATGTCCTTGTACGACGGAGTGTGGTGAGAGTCCGCTCTCCCTCTCGAAATGCTCTCACATGGCCACACGTATATAGCCTCTGCCAGGGAAGTCCTAATCACTGACTTCTCATGGCGGAGATGTTCATTATGAAATTGACAGAACGAAAAGCGAATGTCCAGTGCTTTAACCAGGTTGTTGGACACGGAGAATCCACCTAGGGAAGTTGAAAAACCTCGATTACAATCCAATGGTGTACATGGGACTAAATCTCCTTACGATGCTCCATTGCCTTGTGGATCAACCCTTTAGGTCGAAGGTGTGGCACCCAGGCAGTATCACATCCCTCATACAAATCAAATGAGATATGTGTGGTGCATATGTATCTGGTGCCTCCTTGTACCAATAACTATGTGTCCACATAAATAAATAAATAAACACATAACTTATCGGGATATAACAAGATCGATTAGTCTAAATCTAAATACATTAACCATAATCTTTATTGTTACAGTTTATTACATTTTTTACAAATTGACATAGTGTAAAAGATGAATTGGATTGTCTTTATTACAAAAAAAAATGTGATCAATAATCTGTACCACTACTATTTGACAAATATACATAAATCAAGTTATAGGTTAGTGTGGATGTGTGTGTATGTGTGATTGGGGGGAGTGTTCCTTTTGTGTCGCTTTCGTTACAAACTACATTTGATTATACACTAAACGATAAACTGTAGAGTAAAAACAAAGGTGAATAATCTTAAATTACTCATAATAGACAAGTAGAATACAATTATGAAGTGAAGTGAATTGAGAATACATGTGTCCATGTATAATAACACAATATTTATATGCTAATGAATTCAGCAATTCATCAAATACATTAGCTCAGTCAATGTTTAATTTTATTGTTATATAGTTTATCATTGCTAGAATTTACGTGATTTAACCAAATTATGGTTTACAAGTGAAAAAGATTATTCAAAATAAAATCATTAATTAAGATTTGAACTATTCTTCACCTTTTCAGTCAGTCAATCAGTTACAATATAGGATCAGGCACATATGTGCATCGGTTCAAGTTGCCATACCTAGTTCATGTGTTAACGCAGACTAGTCCTGAAGCAACAACTTGCATTTAGAAGGGGAGAAACGCATCTCAAATATTCTGGCATTGTTGCTCAGTGCTATCACAAGACTCTGTATTTTATCATCTTCTTCACCAAACAGGACTATGTCATCTGCGTATTCTAAGTCGATAAGTGAACCTCCTGGAAGGAGATCAATGCCTGAGAATTCAGTCGATGAGATCGTTATTTCCATCAGTATGTCTATGATGAAGTTAAACAAAAGTGGAGAAAGTGGACATCCCTGAATGACACCACTTGAGGTTGCAAAAGCAGATGAACGTTCGCCATAGCTTTGACTCGACTGATAGTTTTCAAGTAAAGAGCTTTCACAAAGTTCAAGTACTTCTGAGGTACGCCTTTCAATGACAGACACTGCCACAGAATCTCGCGTTCTACATAGTCAAATGCTGCTTTCAAGTCTAGAAAGAATAGATTAGTAGCATAACTAACCTGTATATAATTAGTCTAGATTAAATACTTAAATAATGAGTTACATTAAATTTAAACGATGTACTAATATACAAATACAAACAAAATGTCACCTGCAAACGAAGTAGTATCGTTTAAGATGTTGGTTATTTAGAACGTTATAACAATATTATAAAGCAAACAGTAGAACTTCACTTTCGTTCAAACTGCATAAACTCTAAGATAGTGTTAAATTAAAATGTCTGGTTGCTATGGAGGAATATTGTGAACAATGAAAATATATACATATCAATTATTATGACCCAGTTACTCTTATATTGCTAAGTACTCATGGACACGACTTCATTCGTCATGCCCATAAATCGGAACACGGTTGGATGGAAGTAGGAATCACAAAAAAACGTCGATATATTTATAATTTTTACATAAGATTCTAATGACCTTTCCAATCTCCGTTTGGTTAAGAAATAACCAATCAGTGTTTTTCAATACAGTCCTGGACGGAACAGTACTTAACCTAATCTACATCCCACTAATAGTAATACATTAAAAAAATTGAGTATCTACTTTAAATTTACAAAATGGTCCACTTTATGAACTTATAAATACTTTTCTTTAAATGAATATATAAGATTATATACATAAAAGTTGCGAAATTCTCACTGTCATCTGGGAGAATATAATGACTGCCAATGATATATGAGAATGAAGATTTTAATATCACTTATTTGCCACTTAAAAAATGTTCATCACGACTTTAAGTACGTATTGACAGTATAGTCTTAGTGACCAGAGAGCAAATTAGCCACACAAAAAAAAACAGACACATCACATTGCTGATTGATTTTGGCAAGACAATTATTGAAGGTGACTTAGTTATCTACACTGATAACATAGGATGATTTTTGTGTTACAAATCGACATTGGTTATAAATACCTGTCATGATTACGAGAATCATAGTTAGTAGTAGTGTTCAGCTCATTGCAAAACATGAAAGCTCTCAGTTTATTCTTATTTATAGATAATGGTAGGGATTATTTAGTTCATAAATAAGATAGAGCAACTATTTTTCTATGATTCGATAGTTAACATCACGTAATGACAATAACTGGACAAACACTGAAAACTAGGCAGTAATGAGTATGCTTTAAACTAATATGAGACTTTTCAGCAATATATATCGTAAACACACTAGGGAATAACCCCAAGACTTTTATGTTTTGAGTCGAGTGTTGAAAAACAATCAAATAACATTTAATGGTCAACACAATTGATTTCAATCAATTCATAATAACGAACCATTTTTTAATGTTCTTATTGATAAATTACTGCCTCACATTTAATAAAGTGGAACTCCCTTGGTGACACATTTACATTGGTATTCAAGAAATTATCTCTTACATTTAGTCACTAATGAAATACATGATTGTTATGAATGCAAGAAAGAATATCGACAACACTTAATAATATTCAGGTAAAGAAAGAGTTAGAGTTTGGGGGGAAAAAGGAGAAAATACTGGATAAATGATAGAATAACAATAATCATTATGTGATATATTGATAATCAATACAAATCAATAAAAACAAAAGAAAAAACGATATAAACATGTAAATAATTTTTTGTAATTTTCAACAAGACAATCTAACTTATACAAAAGCTCAAACATGCACACACACACACACGCCAGAATGAGAACAATTGCATAACAACAACAACAAAAATAATAATAATAATCAGCAAAAAAAACTTTTTTGAATCAGATCAATAAAACTCATTTTCTTCGATAGTATAGCCAGAAATAGAGAGAGAGAGAGAGAGAGAGAGAGAGAGAGAGAGAGAGAGAGAGAGAGAGAGAGAGAGAGAGAGAGAGAGAGAGAGAGAGAGAAAGGGAAAGAGTAAACGAGTATGTACAATAAAGAGAAAAGAGTATATTTTTGTTGTTGTTGTTGTTACTTTTCCATAGAAATAAAATGAATTTTATCGATTAAATGTATGTAATATTAAAACAATCAAATAAATGATAATAAAAATGGATAAATTGTTTTATGTACTTGGAGAAATCGAGAGGTGTGTGTGTGTGTATGAGTGTGAAGACCAACTGAATTACATAAGTCATTTTATACAAAAATGCATTATAAATTGGTTCTGGCTATGCGAATTACATGTTAACACAGTAAGTAGAGTGAATGTAAGATAAAAGACTATTTCAATGGAACCTCCACTATGTCCACTTTAAAATAACTCTTAATACAACCTTAAAACTACTGAGGAAACCAAAACAAACAAACAATTTATTCATCGCTTCCACTAACGATGATTTAGCTATATTTATATATGTTGGTATTTGTGTGTTTATCTAATATCTACTCAGGATATATCATTCAGAAAGCGAATTCTGTGGTGCCGTTTATAATTTCAAATTGTAGATAACTAAAAATCTAATTATTCAGTTGATATTAGTCAAACTTCCAAGATATCATTTCATTTCTTTCTATCTAATAAAAGATAAGCTTGTTGTTGGACAGTTCAATTCGTTTACCGTAAACAGAGAGGTCGTTTGATTGATTCGAGTAGGATAACACCATTGAATATCAGATTTCGAATTGAAATTCAATCACACTTGAAAAATTAAAATTAGTTCAATAAGAAGATACAATGTTAAACCTGGGCACAGGATTGTAACTCTTTTTAAGTCAATGAATAACTTGAGTACTTTAAAAAACCGTATAATTAATGATTGAGTTTTGTATTAGATTTAAATAGGAGATAATTGTTTAATGGTTAACAAACAAAATTATATGGATTCGAACCTATTCCTTCGGATTTGCTCCAGACATCTATGTAATATCACTAGACTTCATAACTGAGAAATTTTCATAACTCAAACAGTAGATAAGTATACTAATGCTTGTTGAATTGATAAGTAACACATTGAAATATAATCAAATTCATCTATTTGAAATTATGCAAAGCTGAAAATAGTTTTTTTTAATAGTGATAAAACTCGGAATTATCCAGCCACCACGTCAATTAAATATATATATATATATATATATATATTGTTAATGAATTAATGTAGTTACACAATGTTGTGTTTGTCATATTATCTACGATTAAGATTCAAAGGAATTTGTGATGTAGCTGCTAGGCTGACAAGTTCGTTGCTCATGTTCGTCTTGATGACCCAGTCGAGATATATTAGCTGAAACAATTGCTCTAGGTCCTACCACCCCAGCAAATTCATGGTCCTAGGGAGAAAGAGCACTCCCAATTGTATTCGACAATGTGATGGCAATAATATATGTCCCTAAGAGTAGCGGCATCTTAAACGATGATGCCTCCTAAAAGCGGTTGTGTAGAAAAAGCCGTATTTTAAATATCCACATCATAATATCCCCAACAAATTCCCGATGTAAGCCGAAACACCTTACAAATACAGAGTGTCAATCAGTTCTTTCTTGGGCTTGTACAAATCATCATTCACTTATTTTCCTTAATAGGTTGCACGAGAAGTATCCTTGAAGTATGGAGTCGATTTGTATGTGACAAGTCTCTCTCTCTCCCTACCAAACTCCTGAAACCACTCAAAATCTATGAGTGTATATTATTTAATGACTACAAACAATATCTTAACGAATTAGTTCACTGTTCTAATGCACCATATGATCAATGCAAAAAAAAACTATATCTCAAACAAAATCTGATATGCATACATAAGACATGAAAACTACTACAACAACAACCAAAGAAAGGGACCAAATACAAAAGAATAAGTTTTATGAAAGAGAACAAGAACAAACAAACAATCCTAATTCATTTGCATACACATTCCATAAAATATAGAAAGAATTTCAACAACAACAACAAAAAATATGTACAATGAAGACTCAAAGAACATAATGCCTCCAATATAAAAATGATGAGATGAGATAGTAGTATAGTACGGTAAGAGACTGATTACTTACTACTAGAAGACTGGTTTTTAGGAATACATGCACAAATCTCTAGCACAAAATAGTGTATACCACAAATACACATATAATAAATTAATTTTTTGATGAAACAAAAGATCACACGTACTATTTAGTACTGTTTCGGCAATTAGATAGGAAAATAAACATTTATAAAACATTGTGGCTTAAAACAGATAATATAAACCTGTATTGGTGAAAAATGAGATACGATTATTTCCACACATATTTCTATTTCATGTGTAGGACGTTGTGTATCTAGTAGATTGCAGTTAAACTGTAAGTAAATTTTATTTCACAACTCACTACTACTGTGGTGTGAGTTATTTATATCCACATAAGTAGGATATAACAGCAGACAGGGATAGAATGTATTTCAGTAGGAAAGAACGGAAACGGAAGGCAATTGGTATGAAAATGCAGGAACAATGAAATCTGAGACGATGGACCGATATTTTCAAAAGGAACAATCGAGTTTAAGACAATTGATTGATATTTTGCAAATGAAGTTTTTACTGTATTGTTCTCAGATTTTAGTTAGATGTTCTGTAATTTTGTGCTCAAAAACATCCGATTATTCCCACAAGTGTTCTTGTTCACTACAATACAGCCACAACCAGATGGTGTAAAAGCCATATTTTAAAAATCGATCAACCACAATAACATGACACAAGATGAATATTAGCATGAGAGATTTGAAGAAATTGTAGTATTTTCACAGTTAATACCACGAACTGATCGTAACTAAGCCACCATTGAAAACCTGGATTTCAACCGTGAAAATACAACAATTTCTACTAATCCCCCATACTTATAATAGTCATCTGATAACTAGCGACTAGATTCGAAATATAACTCTTAGAGTTCTAGTGAAACTCCATGACGAGTTCAAAACGTGTAGGGTGTGAGACAGTTATCCACCACAGGCGACGGATGAAGGCCCAAGATCATCGATTGATTCGAGTTAGAGATTAATACTGTTGAATATCAGTTCGGTAGCCTAGATGTTGAGCGTTTGCGCGTGAAACCGAAAGTTCTGGGTTTGAGTTCCGAGTGACGAATCGTGGATGTGCACTAACGGCATCCCATACTAGAACGATGGTATCCAATAGATCGATTTTTAAACATTTAACCAACTCAAGTGATTTATCCCCACCCCATGAGAATCATAATGTAAAGCGATCTACAAACGTAGCTAAATTGGCCTAAATGTAGTACCGATAAGAAATTTTCGTACATTAATTAAAACCGCACTGCAGTATTCAATTCCTCATTTTGCCATGGTGTTAAATTGACTGTTTTAATTGTATGTGCTATGATTACCATGAGTTCATTTATTCTACATATTTTGTTATATTTGTCAAACAGATAATTACCTTTCACATAACTCTCTTTCCTGCACTATTATTTACATACCATATTTCTTGATATTCAAACATTAATCATTTAACTGTTGCATCACAATCTGTCTATTTCCATCATACTATAATGTGATGCACTATATATTTGATGCTCAATTATAAAAGAATATGTAAAAATTCTTATTATATAACATTTATTAACTCACTTTTATTCTGATATGTTAATCCATTTTGATTAGTTTTCTGTTTATTATTATTGTTATTATTCCCATTGGGATTGTCTAAAGAAGATTGACCTTTCGATGATGTAGTAGTTTCATCTTCTGTAACAGTAGCAGGAGTAGACGAGGCAGCAATTGTAATACCTTCGGAACAAGATGATTGGCGATGATGATGATGATTAAGTCCTGTATTCCCATGTAATGATTGTGATTGATTAGATGGAAAAAGACTACCAGCTGGTAAAGTTAATCTTGTTTTTGGATCAGCTAATAATAGATAAATTGCAGTGACATTATTAAAACTTTGTTTGATTAAAGCTTCACGAACATCATCCGGTCGATAACCCATAATACGCATAATTTCTAAGTAATAATACAAATAAATATGCATATGAATATTATGAAAAAATCAATTTCAAAAGAGTAACAATACTATTTTAGTTATACATACAGCACAATCTCAAAAATCGACTAATATATATGGATTTTGGAACTTTCAATAAGAATGTAATTAGCATTAGTTAAGACAGAATATATTTTCGTTGAAAAACTAAAAGATTAATCATTTAATGTTATTGATATTCCATACATTTTATCAATATAGTATAGAAACTATTCGAAATTTGTAGAATTTACAAAATCACATAGTACATACACACACACACACACCGAGAGAGAGAGAGAGAGATCCACAAAAAACATGAAAGGTCACTAATGATTAGATAATTTCCAGAAATTTAGTGATAAGATGTTAGCATTGAAGTCCAAATTTGTTGAATATGTTATTTATTTTATTTGGACACATAGATATTGGTACAACGAGGTATCGAACAAAGATGCGTCACATTTGGTCATTCGATTTGTGTGAAGGATGGGATACTGTTCGAGCACCCAAAGTGAAGCAGGTGGTTTTCTTAGGGGGCCACAACCGGAGCCTTCAACTTAAAGATCCGATCCGCAAGACAGTGGAGCAACGTCAGGAGGTGCTGGCCCATGATATCCGGTGACCAATAATTAGTTCATACGCCATTCGTTCCTTCATGATACTAGAGGCCATTTGCACCACTGGTTTAGAGTCACGGTTTTCCAACTTTCCTAGGTGAAAACTCCATATCCACTAAACCGTTGTCAATTCCGTAAACAACACCCATGCCACGAGAAGGCAGTGATTAGGACTTTCCTAGTAGAGGCTATATACACGTGGTCGTGTGAGGCATTTTTCGAGGGAGAGCGAACTCTCTTCGCTGTACCAGGGCATTTGGGGGCTGTTGAATGTTTAACAGTTACTTATCAATAATAGCATTGATTGAAATTAGATAATGTAGACCATTGAAGGCTGATTAAGTGGTCTAATTGTTAAGTTCATAATTCAAGACCTGGAGGTCTTGTGTTAGATTCCAAGTAAAGTTTTGGATTTGAATTGCAAAATAGTCCTATACTAGGTTGAAAGGTAAGCTACAACAAACAACAACACATCCAATACATTACACTACATACAATCGGTTTAAAAATGTTGTTTATTGCGATTGTTAAACAGATGGATATCCTTGATAAATAGTATGATTTTGTAGTATTAAAGCTCATAGTAAACACTTTCAGATTTGAGATAAACAAATACAAAACACTCTCTTTATTGTATTAATCGTTCGTTCATAAAGTCTCTATGCATAGATGTATTGAAATAGCGATCACTGATGACAAAATCAATTTTGTACCGTAGACTATTTCTTCCCCACTCTCTATCTACCTATTAGAGAAAAAAAACATTATATGAATAAACATTTAATTAGAAAAAAAGGTGGAGGATCTACAAACCTCTTCCCATGTATTCAATGTAAAGATTTACCTAATCTCTCTGTATCATTATAATCCGGAGGTGGTTCAGTATATGGTTTTAAAATATTATCTTCATAGCCAATATTCAACCATTTATCAGACATGACATTCTATAAACAAATTGCAAAAAAAACAATTTGGAATACATTCAAACTGAAATGATGAAAAGTGTTGACAGGAAAATGAGAAAAACCAGAATATCCCATTGTGTATGTGTGTGTAGTATTATTTCTTTCTAGAAACAGATTATATTACAACGATAGATAGTGGCTAGCAGTAGAATTTGAGACGCGCGTTTCGTTCTATTTGGAGCTCGTCAGCTGGATGTACCTGCATCACAGATATGATGTTCATGGTGTTTCAAGCGAATAATACTGAGTTCGAATTCGAGTTCGAGAGTGTACATTAACTTTGAGATGCAGGAACATCCAGCTGACGACTCCCAAATAAAAAGAAACGCGCGTTCCGGATTCTACTGCTAGCCACTATCTATCTTAGCATATAATACTTGTGAATTAAGGCTATATCGAGCCAATGTGCACAGTATGCAGATATGCCAATAACAGACTGATCAATTGCAGTTCTAAACATCAATGGGAAGATTTCAACAAACAATACTGAAGTGACTATTATAACGCAGTAAATATCGAGAAAGCTGTAAATCATGGAACTAATTTATGGATTATTATCATAGATATTTTTATTATATAATTAGTATGTAACTGAACTACAAAATTTCTGTATCCCCCTTCAGTGAGAGCTTTCTTTGAATCTATTAATTATTCTTATACATTTTATTATTTCATAATGATCGCTAACTAATTATGCAATCATATCAACATTCTATACAACCACTAACGGAAAAATGGAATAATAGAGGCCAGCTAAAACTAAACTAACCGATATTACACTAATCGACTTAAATAGATATATAAAAGCATTAAACATTATCGTTCCAGTGAGAGAGAAAAAATCGACAATAACATCAAGTTAAGAACATCGATTTCATCTGGGATCAATTAAAAATTTAGTAGAATGAGTCCTTCTTAGTTGAAACACTGTGGATCTCAATTATCAGTTCACAGTTTCATATAGTTTAATTTTAAACAGCCATATATAGAATTGATAGCATTCAAACGAATAATAAATCATAAAGCTAAGCACCTTGAGTATATATACTACTAAACCCAGTAAATCAGTTATTGATTATTCTAAAACGGATATATCAGGAGAGATCGATAATATAACAGAGGGGAAATGAAACATTTACACTAATAATAATTCAATAATGAACAAATCACTTTTTTTTTAAAAAATTTAATTATATAACAAAATAAAATTCCAACTGAAAACTCTGTAGGCATAGCAAGAAAATAGAATGAAAAAGATTCGTATTATTATTTCAGATGCCTATCAACTAACTGAATATAAATATGTGCGCACATAATTGGGATATGAAGAAGAGAACAAGCAAGCGAGAAAAATGAAGCGAAAAAACAAACAAACAAACAGTAAAATCGATATATTTTTTCACAGATCTAATAAATGAAAAGAAACAATTAATCAATCATTTATAAATCAAGACGATGATATAAGCAAAAGAATCTATGTACCTATTTATCTATCTATCTATCTATCTATTCATATATATGCATTCATGATCAACTCTTCACTATAAGAAAATTAAACAATGTCCAATAAATATGTTATAAGAAATGATAAACAACTTGTTTACACAACTATTTATACGCTTGTTTGGATTGAAACCACACAGTAAACATTTTCACACCATGATTATTATTATTATTATTATTATTATTATTATTATTATTATTATTATTACTGTATTAAATGATAGTTGTGGAACATATCAATAGTGTTTTTAGTTGTATTTATTCTAGTAGATGCAGGTAATAGCAGTATCTAAGATACACGTAACATGTTGATTAGTACTTGTCACTTAGATGCAATAATCATCCCAATATTTATTTATAAAAATTCGAGTTGAACACCTATTGTTTCAAATGCTAACACTTTATCCATTAAGGTATTGAGTTTAAATAACAACTAATTTATTCATGAAATATGAAGGTAGGTAATAACTAAAATCTCAGTATGATTATCAAGAAGGACTAAATGAATGATCGAGATTCGACTGCTAGCCTTCTATAGAATGTGGTAAATAACTTGTGACATAAAAATACATCTAGTAGATGATTTTAAAATGAGTGCATAACACCACAGAATGATCTTTGGAGTCCTGAATAGAAACGATAAGAAATCTTAGACAACCAAAATTATGAATTATGAGTATATGTGTCTTTCTATGAAATAGGATGAAATATACACCTATCCTATCTAAACAATCATATGTAAATGAAAAAATTGAGACCGGAAAAAAAAAGTAATTTTAATAGTTGAGATCATAAGTCAAGTGAAGCTAGACAGTTATAAAAACCCTAATGTACTGGATGGCCGTTTCGTCCTACTGTGGGACTTCTCAGCATTATGCATCCACGATTCGTCTAGTGCTTTGAGGTTTTCCAAGGTGATCTATCTTCACTTGACTCATGAACTCAACTATTAAAATTACTATAAAATATCCACAAAACCCCCCTTCTGATCGAAAGGAAAAATGCTCAAAATACAAGAAAAGAAAATAATTTAGTTATGTTTATCAATAAATGTTACGTAACAATTTATAAGAACTGTTAACCAAGAGAAAAGCAAGATTCTGAGATACAGCACAGCATGCAACAGTCAAATCACACTTGACAGAGATTTGGAAGATGTAAAAGCCTTTACATATCTGGGCAGCATCGTTGATGATCACGGTGGATCTTATGCAGATGTGAAGGAGCGGATCGGAAAAGCAAGAGCAACATATTTACAACTGAAGAACATTTGGGACTCAAAACAATAATCAACCAACACCAAGGTCAGAAACCTGGAGAACTACGAAAGCTATCATCCAGAAGATACAAGCGTTTATTAACAGCTGTATACGCAAAATACTTTGGATCCGTTGGCCAGACACTATCAGCAACAACTTAATGTGGGAGATAACAAACCAGATTTCAGCGGAGGAGGAAATCAAGAAGAAACGCTAGAAGTGGATAAGACACACATTGAGGAAAGCACCCAACTGCGTCACAACGCAAGCTCTCGCTTGAAATCCTCAAGGCCAAAAGAGAAGAAGAAACCCAAAGAACACATTAAGTCGAGAAATGGAGACAGATATGAGAAAAATCGACAAAAATTGGATAGAACTAGAAAGGAAGGCCTAGGACAGATTGGGTTGGAGAATGCTGGTCGGCAGCCTATGTTCCATTGGGAGTGACAGGCGTAAGCAAATAAGATGATGTACTTTTATGGAATGATTGTCCGTACACTAAATGACAAATATAATCAAGGAATATAATTGTTCATTCTATTCTAGTAGTTTAACAAAACATAAGAATGAATACTGATGATCATACAAAATATACAACTCAGAAGTCCAAAACATTTGGATTACTGAATTAGAATCAATTGACATGAAACAATTAGAATTCAAATACTAATCTTTTAATATGACGGGGATCTTTAAACAATCAGAATTCCAGTCAATAAAAATATTTATTTATTATTTATTTTAACACATAGATATTGAAACAAGGAGGCACCAAATACATATGCGCCACACAAATCTCATTCGATATGTGTGATGGCTGTGATACTGCCCGGAAGCCCAAACCGAAGCAGGTGGTTTTCTTAGTAGGCCACACCCCGAGCCTTCGACCTGAAGGTCTGATCTACAAGGCAGTGGAGCATCGTGAGGAGATGCAGTCCCATGGAAGCCGGTGACCAACAATCAGTTCACATGCCATTTGTTCTCGCAGGATACTGGAACCCATGTGCAACATTGGTTTGGAATCCGGTTAAAGCGCTGTACATTCGCTTTTCGTCCTCTCATTTTCGCCACGAGAAGGCAGTGAGTAGGACTTCCCTGGCAGAGGCTATATACGCGTGGCCCTGTGAGAGCATTTCGAGAGGGAGAGCGGACTCTCCCCACTCTCGGCCGTACCAGGGCATTTGGGGGCAGTCAATAAATAACATTAATATGCTGACCAAGTACTTAATTGATTAAAGTAAGAATTACATAATATGTAATCATATCTTGAGAAAGAGTGATTACATAATTGAACTAATTAGTTACATTAGCTCAGTTATAGATAATTAATTGTATGATATTGTAAATATGTTCTCATATAGTTAAAGTTATTGATGAATTGATGTTAGAATTTTATACACATATCTGTGCTAATGTGGTATGGTAACTCGAACTGATGTACGTACGTACGTACGTACGTACGAAGTTCTACGTTGTCACTGATTGACTGACTGAAATCGAACTGTTAACAAATCATATCAAAAAATAGTGTATTGAAATATCAGTTTTATTTATATTGGATGTCGAATAAATCCTCATTTAGTGGTGATCTTCGAAGTTCTTACTTACGTCATCTAACTGACAAAATTTCAGTGATAATTACCAGTTCAGCTTATTACTGTGCAGGCATAACAGATATCAACAGTCTATTGTATGAATTACAACTTCTCATGAATTCTTCAAGGGATTCCTTGTTACTGAAGACTGTACTCAAACAATTTCATTCAATAAAACTAATAGACTAATCAGATTTTATAATAACAACAACAAAATGATTAGTCGAGATACGACAATAAAAGCAACTTGGAATACAGTTAATAACATTATGAACAGATATAACAAAAAAAAGAAATAAGAATAAACACAAGGAACTATTCATCAACGAAATATCTTCAATATTTTTAAAGGAATAAACACTTTTGAACTGAATTTTAAGCAATACATTTTGTGCTCAGAATATATGGACACTATTCTGCTACTACTGACTGAAAAGAGGCAAAAACAATACTCAAATCTGTAACTTGGATTGAAATTGGAATGTTTTAGATTATTAATTTACTGCTTTGCAACCCTATCATCGGTATAATTGATGACCGATTAGTTCCACATTCACTTGTTCACTAATTTTGATTTGAAATGTTGAGTTATATTCGTGGTTCTAGCATACACATTAATCTT